GCAAACAAATTGGATTTACTATACAACAGAAAGTCATTTTCATCGCAAATGAATACATGCAAGTTTCTAAAGCTTTTCAGGGGTCTGTCCAGGGATTTGCCTAATTCCCTATCTGTAGCAACATAAAGGAAATACAACAACTCTGTTTACATATTTCCTGTTTCAAGTCATTATATATTTTAATTTGACATGTTATAGCTTTGTGCCAGGCATGTGTGTAGAATTGTACAGTCACTGCAGTAGACATTGTAAACAGCAATAGATCTGTTGGATGAGCAAGCTTTTATTGCATTGGCAGTAAATGGGACTGTTCAGTTTGTTCAAGGTAGAGGGTCAGTCTCGTGACTATATTTGTACTAATTCAGGACAGGTTTTCTACATGTGTACAGAAGTCATTGAAACAGCAGCATATCTACATCAGTTGTTTACAAGGAGCATTATGTAACATTTACCTGAAATAGTGACACAACACCTGTGTAGTATCAGCTGGGTATAGTCAAGTTGAACCAGCAATCCATATCTGAACTTGTTGGCTGTCTGTGTATGGAAGGGGAGGACTGTGATGGGCTCTCATCCATGATACAGGCATCGGTGGACCAGTGGGAGGTTTGGGAATCCTTGTTTCATCTTTTCTGGTTTTTGATTTTGTATCAATTTCATGAAGTTTATGACAAGTGGTGTAATCCATTGTGTGTACTAAAACTATGGCAACAACATTCATGATCATTGGCAGGAACTTACCTTTACATACAGGACCCCTGTCAGACTACCACTGTTGAAGCCCTGACATCTGGCATGTTTCCTATTTCCAATACTCAGGAACATATGGATCATACTTTATAGGTGCAATGTTTCATGTGAATACTTGATGTCCCCTACAATGTACTGACTGTGATGTATATTTTATACTACATGGGTGCAGTGTATGAGGTCAGAGCTTGATATCCCCTACAATGTACTGACTGTGATGTATATTTTATACTACATGGGTGCAATGTATGAGGTCAGAGCTTGATGTCCCCTACAATGTGCTGACTGTGATGTATACTTCATACTACATGGGTGCAATGTATGAGTCAGAGCTTGATGCCCCCTACAATGTGCTGACTGTGATGTATACTTCATACTACATGGGTGCAATGTATGAGTCAGAGCTTGATATCCCCTACAATGTGCTGACTGTGATGTATACTTCATACTACATGGGTGCAATGTATGAGTCAGAGCTTGATGCCCCCTACAATGTACTGACTGTGATGTATACTTCATACTACATGGGTGCAATGTATGAGTCAGAGCAATGATGACCCCTACAATGTACTGACTGTGATGTATACTTCATACTACATGTATGGTGCAGTGTATGAGGTCAGAGCTTGATGTCCCCTACAATGTGCTGACTGTGATGTATACTTCATACTACACGGGTGCAGTGTATGAGGTCAGAGCTTGATGTCCCCTACAATGTGCTGACTGTGATGTATACTTCATACTACACGGGTGCAGTGTATGAGGTCAGAGCTTGATGTCCCCTACAATGTGCTGACTGTGATGTATATTTCATACTACATGGGTGCAATGTATGAGGTCAGAGCTTGATGTCCCCTACAATGTGCTGACTGTGATGTATACTTCATACTACATGGGTGCAGTGTATGAGGTCAGAGCTTGATGTCCCCTACAATGTACTGACTGTGATGTATATTTCATACTACATGGGTGCAGTGTATGAGGTCAGAACTTGATATACCCTACAATGTACTGACTGTGATGTATATTTTATACTACACGGGTGCAATGTATGAGGTCAGAGCTTGATATCCCCTACAATGTACTGACTGTGATGTATATTTTATACTACACGGGTGCAATGTATGAGGTCAGAGCTTGATATCCCCTTCAATGTACTGACTGTGATGTATACTTCATACTACACGGGTGCAATGTATGAGGTCAGAGCTTGATGTCCCCTACAATGTGCTGACTGTGAAGTATACTTCATACCACATGGGTGCAATGTATGAGGTCAGAGCTTGATGTCCCTTACAATGTGCTGACTGTGATGTATACTTCGCTTAAAATAATATCCATCAAATGATCCTTTTGGTCTTAATACATAAGAACCACAGACAAACATGGTGCACCAAGAGAAAGGGAAAAATGTGATTGAGAAAAAAAAATATGAACTATTTACTGTGTCAATAAGGATCAATACAGGTAACGACCACTACCTGTCATGATCAAGAGAAATAAAGTTACCTGCACATAAAATGTCAGTTTTGAAGCAAGGCATGAACTTGACAAAACATAGTCACAGTGCAGGTGCAATGAGTGACTCATCGATCAGCTGATCAGTGCGAGTTTTCTTACCAGAGGCTGGTCATCCAATGCCCAGGCTTGCTGACCAAATGCATTTGGTGAAATGTATATGTTTACATTGCCATTTATTGTGTGATGTAACAAGATACTGGACAGAATCCTTTATTGAGCCATGAAGTAGTTCTGGCTACAGCGAAAATATCACTTTCTCAACATCATGAATCTTGGTCTTTAACAGCTAAGTATATAATATATAGGTCATTCTAGATAATGCAGTGTATTAAGTCAGTGCATTGTGTGGCCTACAGTATCCCCTACAGCGTTATATCAGTCATACTGCATGGGTGGAATATATGAGGTCACTGCATAATGTGCTTCACAATGTCCTAAATAGTGAGGGGCGGTGGGGTAGCTGAGTGGTTAAAGTGTTGGCTCGTCACGCTGAAGACCCTGGTTCGAATCCCCACATGGGAACAATTTGTGAAGCCCATTTCTGGTGTCCCCCGCCGTGATGTTGCTGGAATATTGCTGGAATATTGCTAAAATGAGGCATAAAACCAACTTCAGTCAGTCAGTCCTTAATAGTGAAATATAGGTCATCCCACATAGGTGCAATGTGTAAGGTCAGTGCTTAATGTGCTTCACAGTGTCTTTGACAGTAAGACAACAGTGCTGCTGCATAGGTGCAGTGTAAGGTCAGTGCTTAATGTGCTTCACAGTGTCTTTGACAGTGAAATATTGGTCATACTAGAATGTATGAAGTCAGTGCCTTGTGTCTACTTCATACTTATGTGGTCATTCATTGGTGTAGTTGCTTAGTCTTCATTTCAGAAACATACAATTTCACACATGATGGTTATTTACATGTGCTTCATATTGTGCAGTCCTGATGCAGTGCAGCTGCAGAACAACAAGCTAGGATGCAAGGTCTTGTGTTTATGTACACCAGGGTAGAGATGGTGCAAGGTCTTGTGTTTATGTACACCGGGGCAGAGATGATGCAAGGTCTTGTGTTTATGTACACCAGGGTAGAGATGATGCAAGGTCTTGTGTTTATGTACACCGGGGCAGAGATGGTGCAAGGTCTTGTGTTTATGTACACCGGGGTAGAGATGATGCAAGGTCTTGTGTTTATGTACACCAGGGCAGAGATGGTGCAAGGTCTTGTGTTTATGTACACCAGGGCAGAGATGGTGCAAGGTCTTGTGTTTATGTACACCAGGGCAGAGATGGTGCAAGGTCTTGTGTTTATGTACACCGGGGCAGAGATGGTGCAAGGTCTTGTGTTTATGTACACCGGGGCAGAGATGATGCAAGGTCTTGTGTTTATGTACACCGGGGCAGAGATGATGCAAGGTCTTGTGTTTATGTACACCGGGGTAGAGATGATGCAAGGTCTTGTGTTTATGTACACCAGGGCAGAGATGGTGCAAGGTCTTGTGTTTATGTACACCGGGGCAGAGATGATGCAAGGTCTTGTGTTTATGTACACCAGGGTAGAGATGATGCAAGGTCTTGTGTTTATGTACACCGGGGCAGAGATTGTGCAAGGTCTTGTGTTTATGTACACCAGGGCAGAGATGATGCAAGGTCTTGTGTTTATGTACACCGGGGTAGAGATGATGCAAGGTCTTGTGTTTATGTACACCAGGGCAGAGATGATGCAAGGTCTTGTGTTTATGTACACCGGGGCAGAGATGGTGCAAGGTCTTGTGTTTATGTACACCGGGTTAGAGATGATGCAAGGTCTTGTGTTTATGTACACCGGGGCAGAGATGATGCAAGGTCTTGTGTTTATGTACACCAGGGTAGAGATGATGCAAGGTCTTGTGTTTATGTACACCAGGGCAGAGATGGTGCAAGGTCTTGTGTTTATGTACACCAGGGCAGAGATGATGCAAGGTCTTGTGTTTATGTACACCGGGGCAGAGATGATGCAAGGTCTTGTGTTTATGTACACCAGGGCAGAGATGGTGCAAGGTCTTGTGTTTATGTACACCAGGGTAGAGATGATGCAAGGTCTTGTGTTTATGTACACCAGGGTAGAGATTGTGCAGTGTTAAGGCATGGTAGACATGTCTGTACACTGTATGCCTCTGCCCTGAGCAGACAGACTAGACCTGTGGGTGGTGGGATATGTTTAATCTGCAGCTCATTCACCACAGGCAGAAAAAAAATGTGTTTGTCATGCCTGAAGCAAATTTAGAAAACATAAACATGCTAATGCCATGATTGTGTTTTTCTATTAAATGTCTAGAAGCAAGCATGTTCATGATTGTGGTTATTTGAAATTCATTTCATTAGAATATATTGAGTTCTTTGATATGGCTACTGTTTTCATTAAATAGATACATCTCACCATGATTTCCTGTCATTTCTTAATTAAACACGAAAGCAAATGTTATCAGTGATCTCTTTGGTTAGATTCAATATCCTTCCCTCACAAACATGATATACCTTGGAAACTATGTACTGAATGAGTTGCTAGAGGAACATCAACACCGGGAGGTGGATTGAAATCTTGGCCGACACTGCCACTACCTGACATGTTACTCATCCATTCTGCCACCTCTCCCTCCCGAATCAAAGCTGGTCTGTAACTAGGCCATCAAGTCTGTGCCAGTCAGGGACCAATAACACTGGTTCTGCAACTTCATGGAATGTTCCTGTCTTAATTTCAGAAAAAAGTTCAAAGCTCTGCGCAATGGAATCATCAAAGCACAGGCCCAGTTTCGGATGTACAGGCAGCGGGTTCGTTATTTGCAGGTATGTTTACATATTTTTAATTAGTTTTATAATGATCACTTTGTAATTTTTGTTCCTTTTATCTTGGAGCTTTCATTTTAAACATCTGTAAAACCCATCCAGTCTGCATGGTATGGGTATAAGCTGTGTTTTCTGTTGAGTTATGTAATGCGCAGAACAGAAGCAGTGTTTGTGTTGTACACTGATCCAACAAAATATGTTAAGGGACAATTTTGTTTGTTTTCTCAACATTGCTAGATGGAAGAGGTAACTCAAGTTTAATTTTAGATGTTAGATGTTGTTATGAGTATGGAAAGATTTTGGTTTCAAAGTCTTCCATTTCTGTTGTAGGATCTTATAGCTAGCTTGAAGTTGATAGTTATCTGGTAGGAAAACTAGCAGTTTGTGTGTACATCTTTCTTGGAATGTTCCTGAATATTGGTTATTTTGCACTTTGTGGACCAGAAAAAAATCATGCAAACTCATCTGAGTGTTGTGCTAGTGCTGTCAGCTAGATATATAAATTTGTTCAGTGTATTAAGCAGTGTGCTGTCCACTGCTCAGTCCTGTTGTGAACTACATCCTAAGCCTAATGTTTGTTGTCCTAGTGCTATAAGCTAGATATGGTAGTGGAGTGTATTGTACTGGTCCACAGCTTAGTGTTGTCCTAGTGCTATAAGCTAGATATGGTAGTTGAGTGTTTTGTACTGGTCCACAGCTTAGTGTTGTCCTAGTGCTATAAGCTAGATATGGTAGTGGAGTGTATTGTACTGGTCCACAACTTAGTGTTGTCCTAGTGCTATAAGCTAGATATGGTAGTGGAGTGTATTGTACTGGTCCACAACTTAGTGTTGTCCTAGTGCTATAAGCTAGATATGGTAGTGGAGTGTATTGTACTGGTCCACGGCTTAGTGTTGTCCTAGTGCAATAAGCTAGATATGGTAGTTGAATGTATTGTACTGGTCCACACCTTAGTGTTGTCCTAGTGCTATAAGCTAGATATGGTAGTTGAGTGTATTGTACTGGTCCCCAGCTTAGTGTTGTCCTAGTGCTATAAGCTAGATATGGTAGTGGAGTGTATTGTACTGGTCCACAGCTTAGTGTTGTCCTAGTGCTATAAGCTAGATGTGGTAGTTGAGTGTTTTGTACTGGTCCACAGCTTAGTGTTGTCCTAGTGCTATAAGCTAGATATGGTAGTTGAGTGTATTGTACTGGTCCACAGCTTAGTGTTGTCCTAGTGCTATAAGCTAGATATGGTAGTGGAGTGTTTTGTACTGGTCCACAGCTATGTGTTGTCCGTCCAGATATGGCCATCCAGTGTATTTAGTAGAGGGCTAGTCCCCAGCTTAGTGTTGTCCTAGTGTAATCAGCTACATATGGCCGTCCAGTGTATTTAGTAGAGGGCTAGTCCCCAGCTTAGTGTTGTCCTAGTGTAATCAGCTAGATATGGCCATCCAGTGTATTTAGTAGAGGGCTAGTCCCCAGCTTAGTGTTGTCCCAGTGTAATCAGTTAGATATGGCCATCCAGTGTATTTAGTAGAGGGCTAGTCCCCAGCTTAGTGTTGTCCCAGTGTAATCAGTTAGATATGGCCATCCAGTGTATTTAGTAGAGGGCTAGTCCCCAGCTTAGTGTTGTCCCAGTGTAATCAGCTAGATATGGCCATCCAGTGTATTTAGTAGAGGGCTAGTCCCCAGCTTAGTGTTGTCCTAGTGTAATCAGTTAGATATGGCCATCCAGTGTATTTAGTAGAGGGCTAGTCCCCAGCTTAGTGTTGTCCTAGTGTAATCAGTTAGATATGGCCATCCAGTGTATTTAGTAGAGGGCTAGTCCCCAGCTTAGTGTTGTCCTAGTGTAATCAGCTAGATATGGCCATCCAGTGTATTTAGTAGAGGGCTAGTCCCCAGCTTAGTGTTGTCCTAGTGTAATCAGCTAGATATGGCCGTCCAGTGTATTTAGTAGAGGGCTAGTCCCCAGCTTAGTGTTGTCCTAGTGTAATCAGCTAGATATGGCCATCCAGTGTATTTAGTAGAGGGCTAGTCCCCAGCTTTGTGTTGTCCTAGTGCTGTGAGCTGGATATGTTCATCTAGGGTCTTGGGCAGTATGTTAGTCCACAGCTTAGTGTTGTCCTAGTGCTATAGACTAGATATGCTCGTCTAGTGTCTTGGGCAGTCTGTTAGTCCACAGCTTAGTGTTGTCATAGTGTTATAAGCTAGATATGCTCATCTAGTGTCTTGGGCAGTGTGCTAGTTGACAGCTTAGTGTCGTCCTAGTGTTATAAGCTAGATATGCTCATCTAGTGTCTTGGGCAGTGTGCTAATTGACAGCTTAGTGTTGTCCTAGTGTTATAAGCTAGATATGCTCATCTAGTGTCTTGGGCAGTCTGTTAGTCCACAGCTTAGTGTTGTCATAGTGTTATAAGCTAGATATGCTCATCTAGTGTCTTGGGCAGTGTGCTAGTTGACAGCTTAGTGTCGTCCTAGTGTTATAAGCTAGATATGCTCATCTAGTGTCTTGGGCAGTCTGTTAGTCCACAGCATAGTGTTGTCCTAGTGTTATAAGCTAGATATGCTCATCTAGTGTCTTGGGCAGTGTGCTAATTGACAGCTTAGTGTTGTCCTAGTGTTATAAGCTAGATATGCTCATCTAGTGTCTTGGGCAGTGTGCTAGTTCAAAGCTTAGTGTTGTCCGTGTGTAATCAGCTAGCTATTGTGTCCTAGATTACTGGTTAAAGCATTTGCATTCATGGTCTAGATTCGGATCCCTAGTTTCTGGATTATATCAATTAAATGATTTTAGGACTAATTCTTGTAATTTATGACTTAATGAAATCATGTCATAAATGCAATATAGATGATTATTTTCACCAATCCAAAAGCAATCACTCACTCACTCACTCACTCACTCACTCACTCACTCACTCACTCACTCACTCACTCACTCACTCACTCACTCACTCACTCACTTACTCACTCACTCGCACTCACTCATGCTCACTCACTCACTCACTCAGTGAGACTGAACGAGGATATATAAATTTTACAAAAGATTGGGCCTGGTTTGCACTAACTCGGCTGACCTACATCTGCATCTGCTCCACGCCTTCACTGTGCATCCCTGAACATCGCGGAGCCTGTGAAGCGTGACGCAAACAGCAGACCATGCCTCCAGGTCTCCCTCACAAAACAAAATAATGATATTCATGGCATTTAAAAACTCCGTCCAGACTTTAGTTTCACATGCATTTTGTGGAGATAATAAAGATAGTTAGACAAAAATACACCAGCTAGTCCATGAATCACATCTGATAGTAAGTAACCCCTCACAAATGTGACAGATTATGCTTGTATCAGATTGTTAGATCAATGTGCATATTGTTTAAAGGTTTTCACTTTGTATGAGATGTCTAAGTATTGATAATAAATAAAAGCAATAAAGCCATTTCCATGATTATAAGAATTTGGATAACCCAAGATTTAGAGTTCAGATTCCAGTGTTACTATTAATCACCATTTCTAATAGCTGAATGATTTCCACTAAGGAACATTTCATCATGTTCTAGGAGAGCGGAAGCTTGTGGGTTCGATCCCCGACCGCGTCATACCAAAAGACGTTAAAATATGGTACTTGTTGGTCCCTGCCTGACGCTCGGCATTAATGGGTACAACAAGGACTGGTCGGCTCGGAGTCAGTATAATGTGTCTGAGTGGGGTATTCATGCTTCACTGCGGCATGGTATCTCAGTGGGCTAGCACTATAAAACCAGCTTAAGTCTGGGCTTGTACAAGCACCCGCACATACACATACACACGCATGCAAGTCGTCATATGAGCGAAATATTCTCAAGTACGACGTAAAACCCAATTTCACCTCACCTCACCTCATCATGTTCTATGGTATACAGTGTAAAACAGTTTGAGCATTCAGAGCATTATAGAAATGTAGAGCAGATCCTCAAACGTACATGCTTGGATGAGATGGTAATGTGACTGTTAGCCTCCTAGTGCTGCAGCTTTGGTTGTATACTCACCAGGAAGTTGAGATTGATAATCATGTGCCCTCTGATCCATTGACTGGGGTAATTATGTAGCACTTTGAATATACTTTACGGAATGGATTTGGCACTTGAAAATTTTTATTATTTCTGTCATACATTCTGTTTTTATATTTATTCTGTTATTCTGGTCTATAGTTATTAAAAACAAGGGGTCAAGTACACCACACCACTCCTAAAGCTGTGTTAGGGAATAAATGGAGATTCTCAAAAGTTTCAAATTTAATTTAAAAGGTCAAGTCTTTTTGTACTTGTGTAAGTATTCCTGACACTAGAAAAAGGATCACTGAAGGAACTGTAGACAATGCTGTACTGTTGATGCCATGGGAGGATTCAGTGGTGGGGAACTGTTACTGTTACAGTGCAACCGACATGGGTAATACGGTAGTTTGATCTACAAGGAATATACTGATGCTCGACCTAGTGGTAAACAAAAAGTGGGTTTGATGGTATTATCACCCAACATGGCCTCGGGAGATGATACAAACGTTTCTCTGCTGATGATATCTTACCACTGAAACATTTACATATAGACCCACAGAGGGACTGATCGTCTCCGCACCAAGGTGATATGTCGTCTGTGTTACTGACAGTCAGACTGAACCGTGTTGACTGTGGGTGTCTGGATGAGCTAACACTGTTGTAGGGATGTAGGTGGAACTCACGTCCACTTTCTTGATGTATGTATTCAGGGTAGTTTCTAAACTCTGTTATGATTGTATCGGTGAAATGTTCACATTCATAGTTGTGCAGTAGTGACTTGATGTCAGTGTTTGAATGTTCCATATGTTGCAGACAAGAGAGCAAATACGTCAGAAGCTAGAGGTGGAACGCCAGGCTCGCAAACAGAAGGAGGCTAAAGAAAAAATGGAACGTGAAAAACGGGTGAGTGGCTGTTGAGTTGTAACTACGTGTGTGATGATAGGCTAAGTGTACAATATGGAGCAGCATCTGATACATGACTCAAACACTGTTGTGTCAAAGTTGAAAGGATTCACGTAAATACCTCGAGTTATCAGAGGTTCTTCTCAACTGCAAAGTGACTAAATAAGGAAGGGAACAAGCTTAAGGTTGTCATATCAAAGTTTGACACAACAGTCTTTGACTGCATGAGCTTTCATACGAGACATCAAATATTCAAATTTTAATCCTTATGATTACAATATGTACAAAATGGTACTGTACATGTCAATTCATTGAGGTTGCGGCTAGAGTCTGTCACTTCACAATGAAAGATTTCATGTGTTAGAATACAAAAAAAGAACATTGACATTGATAAAAAAGAGGTATCAGTCCCCGTGTAGGACTAATCTTGAAGCATGCAGTATTGCATAACCTGACACAGTGTGTCATAGTGGACGTCTATTTCCCACAGTCAGACTAAACCTTGCTGTTTGGTCCTGATGAATGTAGCACCTGGTGATTCAGCATCGCTGTAGAAGGGGGTCAGGAACATCGCTGTAGAAGGGGGTCAGGAACATCGCTGTAGAAGGGGTCAGGAACATCGCTGTAGAAGGGGGTCAGGAACATCGCTGTAGAAGGGGGTCAGGAACGTGTTCAATGCCAAGTATTGATTACACTGCTTGGGTGAAGTGTTTGGCTTCACAATGCATAAAAATATGTATATATGTGTCGTCACTACAAATAAATAGGCCAGTGGTGATTCTGGGTTAAGTAATATAGATTCACAGGAACTCTGAGATCACTGAATGGATCAGATGGTTAGACTTGGTTCCTTGCATATCGTTGTATCCTAATGTAGATGTACAGTTGTATGTACTGTTGTGATGTAAGCAGAGATGCCAACCACTCCGATTTTCAAATACAAAATCTGCTCCCCGATTTCTCTTTAAAAAACTCTGATTTTCTAGAAAAAATTCTGAATTTATTTTTACGGTATACAATTTTGTAAATCACCTGTGATTTATTTGAGTGAACACTGGTAAAAGCATTCAGAAGCTTAGTGTGTGATCCTTTGGGTGCCGATTGTGTATATTGCGTGTTATTGACGATGAAGTTTCACAAAGTGTTTTCCGAATGCATGTCATAGTCCGTATGAAAGTGAAACAAAATGGCAGAGCCGACCACACGCTCACCCCCAACTCTCACCTTTGGTGCTCAGGGCTGGCTTTCAGTAATGACTCTGTCTTCCTTAGATTCAGGGTTGGCATCTCTGTGTGAGGGTAAATGGTCCTTAATACTTCAATCACACTGGACTAGTTGATGAAATGGGGACTGGCCTGAGATTAGTGACCTGAAACCATTCAATAGTTGATCAGTCATACACCTTAACAATGATAGGCAGGCAATAGTTGGTCAGTCATACACCTTAACAATGATAGGCCAGGTAATAGTTGGTCAGTCATACACCTTAACAATGATAGGCAGGCAATAGTTGGTCAGTCATACACCTTAACAATGATAGGCAGGCAATAGTTGGTCAGTCATACACCTTAACAATGATAGGCAGGCAATAGTTGGTCAGTCATACACCTTAACAATGATAGGCCAGGTAATAGTTGGTCAGTCATACACCTTAACAATGATAGGCAGGCAATAGTTGGTCAGTCATACACCTTAACAATGATAGGCCAGGTAATAATGATAGGCCAGGTAATAGTTGGTCAGTCATACACCTTAACAATGATAGGCAGGTAATAGTTGGTCAGTCATACACCTTAACAATGATAGCAGGTAATAGTTGGTCAGTCATACACCTTAACAATGATAGGCAGGCAATAGTTGGTCAGTCATACACCTTAACAATGATAGGCAGGCAATAGTTGGTCAGTCATACACCTTAACAATGATAGGCAGGCAATAGTTGGTCAGTCATACACCTTAACAATGATAGGCCAGGTAATAGTTGGTCAGTCATATACCTTAACAATGATAGGCCAGGTAATAGTTGGTCAGTCATATACTTTAACAATGATAGGCCAGGTAATAGTTGGTCAGTCATATACTTTAACAATCTCATGATATAACAAGCAGCATTCATGTGGTTTTAAATGGAACTCACTCACTCACTCACTCGCTGACTGGATTATCTCTCTACCTTCGCCTCTGCAGCCAGGGCATGAAATCAAGCGGAGAATCTCATTGTTGTTCCCCGTTCCGAACATCATGATGTTGAGTGATGAGGAGAAGGTATATCCTCCTGTTGCCTCCACCTTCCCTTTACGTTCACCCAAATTTATTTGCATGATGATTATTTTAATATAATGTTTAATTATCATTATGTTGTATACTTAGTTACACATATTTTACCCCGCATGATCCGAGCTTATGTCAACATTTCAGCATTTACTCTTGATGCAATTTGATTATCTTGTAGTCTGTGAACACACTGTTGAAAAATTAAACATCAGCTTCTCCTGTAAAGCAAAACTACATGTCTCTTCCAAAATCAGATGTGATCTACCTGTCAATCTAAAACTTTAGCATAATTGATATCGATATAAGAATCATGGTATATACTCCATATTGTAAGGTATATTACATCTGGTGCATTGACCTGAACTCTGGCCAGAGTCATCTATAATTCAAATGGTCTAATGATCAACATCAAACCAAAGGCTTAAAATAAAATCTGAAGAATTTGTGTTATGTTTATTGGGTGGTCATGCATTAACCAGTGCCTGCTGATGAATTACTTACTGTTGTTACCTGGTAATTGCCTTGTGGTGTCCTACCTGTGTAGCACAGGTGTGTAATCGCACAGCATGGCAGACACAGGTAGAGTTACCTGTTAACGAGCTCCGTGGCATGAAGTAGCTTGCTTGATGTTGTTGGCCATAGACTTAATCATTATGTTAATGACAATTAGAACTGCTTCGGAATGGTCCATATTTGTCAGAAATATGGTTCAGGTATATAGAGCATTCATTTTTACATATGTTCACATAGTATTATTTGTTCGTTTTTTGTAGTTTATTTTGGGATTTGTATCAAATTGGACTTATATTTTGATATGTTATAATCTTAGGTCATTAATAAATGTAATGAAATATTTAGCATATATGTATCAAATTTCCTATACTAGTTCAACTACTTTGTTAACAAGTTATATGTTATCGTAATAAACTTTTTACATAGTTTCAGTGTATTATTGTTCACATTCCCCTTCATCTTATTGATGTACAAGTGAAAAGAATTCTGGTAAAATAATTAGTCATTGGTTCATGAATTCCAGCTGTATTTTGATGCTTTTCTAGAATGTCATCAAACTGTTGTAATTGTGCTTGGTAAACAGCATGTATGAAAAGAGGAAAGTCTTTGCTGAGCAGTCTGTTATATGTTTCAGGAAAGGGAGGCCCGGGCTGAAGCCAGTGTGTCCAACCTGGACATCCCAGGGGAGCTAGCCTTTGTCTACAACAAGCTAGATGGTAGGTAGAGGACCTTATGGTAGTACCCCCTGTGTGTAACGGCAACAGTCTTCCCCTGTAGGATTCAGAGCATGTTTAGTGATGAAGGGGCTTCTTGTGTCAACTCCCACACCTTACACTGGATGACACATTGGTCTAAGGTGCTGCAGTTCACTACCCGGAGTTGTGTCCCCTAAACATGCCAGATTCCTATAATTATCTATTCAAATCATGAACTGCCATGATAAAGATTCTTGGCTTGACAGCACCACCCTCTCCATGCCAGTGGGCTGCACCAAAATGTTTAACATCCAAGATCTGCATCAACCTGGCCGTCAGGGCTCCCTCCCATGTGAAGCTGTCCAACAGTTATACAACTGAAATACTGATCTAAGTGGCTTTATACCACCTCCCTCCCAAGGACTCTGGAATAGGTGTAAGACTGCTGGGGGAGGTGCTAGCTTGTCAAGATCTCTGTGTAGGGCACCTTGACTGTGTCACTATCATGGTCTTAGCTTCAGGATAGCTCCATACTGACTCGTGATGAGAACTTTCAAGGGAATCCCTACTGAAAGAGGAACTGGGGTGCTGTGGGCCATCACAATTATCAAAGCCATAAAACCAGTACTATCTTGTTGAAATATTGCCTGAAATATATATGCCAAATGAAATACCTTTGAAATAAGTTTAGGTTTTGTGCAAAGTCAAGAGATAGGACATGACTGCATGTCCATCCATGTTTGTGCTTATTTCTCTTTCAATGCCACTTTCCTTTCTTTCAAATTTGGCAGACTGTCAGAGGCTGTATTTGTCAGTTCAAATTTCAGCCTGGACAAATTCACTTAATAATAGAATAATTCATCACTTTCATTTTTCATATTGAATAATGCATGAATAACTGGAGAATAGTTGAGGTATATGCTTCAGGGTGTTTGATGAAAATATGCATTTTACAATCATATGTTCCGTTGTTGTAGACTGGCGGCTGGTGCACACCGGCACCAACATCAACGTGGTGGCCGACGTCAAGCCCATGGACATGGCCTACAAACTGCCAGTGGACATCAGTTCCCACACATTCAGCAAGTACATGGGCGCTTACTTCAAGGTACAAACATGTAGTACTGTGGTCCATGCAAGACATGCCCCATATTCCAGCAGGAAACACAGTACATGTATATACACATACACTGGAAGGTGAAACCAGCAAATGCTCACACAGAAAGTCATGTGACAGGCAGGGGTATCAGTACAGCAGGACATGATTAAATGTTTGGCAAACACCTGGTGTCATTCATTTTCAGCGGTTTATTCATACATTTTTCATTGCTGTCATTTAAGTTTCAGCAGATAACTAGGATGTTGTGTTTAATTTTCTGTATGCCTCTACAGAAAAGTATGAATTTGATGTGTTAGTTAACAAATGCACCTGGTGCAGCAAAATGACCACAAGACCCCTTCTTCTTGTTTGGGCAGTTATATTACATATATTAGAAAGATGTTAAATACTGTTGTATAGACCAGCAGACAAATCAGGTTGTATAGACCAGCAGACAAAAACAGGTTGTATAGACCAGCAGACAAAAACAGGTTGTATAGACCAGCAGACAAAAACAGGTTGTATAGACCAGCAGACAAATCAGGTTGTATAGACCAGCAGACAAAAACAGGTTGTATAGACCAGCAGACAAATCAGGTTGTATAGACCAGCAGACAAATCAGGTTGTATAGACCAGCAGACAGATCATGTTGTATGAATTGGTTTTCTGTTCCTAGGTTAGATCAGAGACCATATAATAGATATTATATTGTCTCTGGTTAGATCCACTTCAAAACATAAAATATGAAAATCTCATTTCCTGTAAACTATTGTTGTAGTAGTCACGAACCAAGCATTAGGCATAACAATGACTGTTTCCTTTTGCAGAAATCTGACTGGGGAATTCAAATTGAGCCAATCAAAGCACCTTTTACAAATCTACAAGGTGGTGACCTTTCGCATAGGGCTTTGTCAGTATTCAAACTGGTAAGAAAATAACTAATAACATGAGTCACAGTAACATGGTTGATAATATGTCACCTTACTCCAGTAGTTCGGAGCATGCATAATATCAATCACAGGATTGCTTGCTCCAGACTTGATTCCTTAACAGACCAGCCATGATCTTACAGCTGGAATATTGCTGAGAGCATCGTAATACAAAGGCAATACTAATCAATCATTAAATGCCAGCATTATTGTGATGTACACATTCCATGGATGAGTTTCCTGGTCCACTGGGAAGGCCTAGCTTCCTGTCCTCTGGTATCCTGTGAAGCTCTCTCGTGGCCAGATCTTACCGACCACACCAAACAGGAAGTGGCCCACACAAATATGTGTGTTGGGAAGACTATATAGTATTTTGACATCATTAGTAATCAGGTAAAGAATGCATAAACAAGGTCACTGTGTGGTGACCTCCTGCAGCAGACAGGGATGACCCCTGCAGGGGAGATGTTTTTGAATACTGACCATCAGTTTAGTAGCCTTCAGCTGCAGCAGCAGCATCACATATTACCAGCATGGTAAAGCCGTTTCGGATACCTGTGCCGCCAAAATCGGCAGAACTCAAGAGGAAGTTCAAAATCTTCAAGGTTTCGTTAAGATTTTCTATTGTGGGTTATTTGTTACAATATTATATATTTGTGATTCACTTTTCTTTACATTCATATTTGATCAAATTTTTGTCACTTTTAACTGATGTAATGCAAACCATTAATGGGGATCTGGATGGTTATGTTTAGATTCTTCGCTTCATGATGGAACAGAACATGTCTGAGAAGAAGCAGAAAGTTCTGTCAGATTATGTCGTACAGCTGGTGAGTGGATATATTTTATTTGGTATTATGTTACATAGATGTGAAATATAGACCTTTCTACATGTTTCATATCACACTGATGGGAAGTCATGACTACATCGGTATCCAATGATGAATTATGTTTCTTTGCATTGAAGTATAATCTCACAAATATTTTAACAAGCCCACTTAAATTTATTTACCATAGTTGTGTTGAATGTTGTTTTGTTTGTTTTGACAGTGGTAATATTTAACTGAAATCTTAAATGTATAGCACCCAAATACCATCTGTATATTTTGTCAATCATCATTGCTACACTGAAATATACTGTCAAGCAATGCTGATGTGATTTAACTTGACTTTCTTAGTACATAATATGTCCATACAGCAACTCCCTTTGGAGGAGGTGATCGAGGGATTCTGTTGGTTGGCTAATGACCCAGTCCATTCTGTTGGTTGGCTAATGAGCCAGTCCATTTTGTTACTCTACATGGATACTATATCTTAGGCACAGTTTTGTGCCCATATCTGATATTACTGGAACATTATTGGTAAGGGTGCTTATTCTGTCACTCTTCCCTTGTATGAACTCTGACCATTGTTGCCAACTCTACAGGGTCTGCAGAATGAAGGTTTGAGGGATGAGATCCTGTGTCAGCTGACCAATCAGACGTGGAAGAATCAGAACATGTCCCAGGCGGAGAAAGCCTGGCTGCTATTGGCCTGTTGTCTCAGCTGCTTCTCACCCAGCTCCACCCTCTTCAAGTTCCTGCTCAAGTAAGTTGCCGAACCTTCATGCCCATGCCCACATATTAGACAACATGAACACATATGTGAACATGTGAACACCTGACACATATTAGACAACATGAACACACATGTGAACACACCCAACACATATTAGACAACATGAACACATATGTGAACACACCAGACACATATTAGACAACATAAACATATATGTGAACACACCTGACACATATTAGACAACATGAACACACATGTGAACACACCCAACACATATTAGACAACATGAACACATGTGAACATGTGAACACACCTGACACATATTAGACAACATAAACATATATGTGAACACACCCGGCACATATTAGACAACATGAACACATATGTGAACACACCCGGCACATATTAGACAACATAAACATATATGTGAACACACCTGACACATATTAGACAACATGAACACATATGTGAACACACCCAACACATATTAGACAACATGAACACATATGTGAACATGTGAACACCTGACACATATTAGACAACATAAACATATGTGTGAACACACCCAGCACATATTAGACAACATAAACATATATGTGAACACACCCGGCACATATTAGACAACATAAACATATATGTGAACACACCCAACACATATTAGACAACATAAACATATATGTGAACACACCCAGCACATATTAGACAACATAAACATATATGTGAACACACCTGACACATATTAGACAACATAAACATATATGTGAACACACCCAGCACATATTAGACAACATAAACATATATGTGAACACACCTGACACATATTAGACAACATAAACATATATGTGAACACACCCAGCACATATTAGACAACATAAACATATATGTGAACACACCCAGCACATATTAGACAACATAAACATATATGTGAACACACCTAGACACATATTAGACAACATAAACATATATGTGAACACACCCAGCACATATTAGACAACATAAACATATATGTGAACACACCCGGCACATATTAGACATCATAAACATATATGTGAACACACCCGGCACATATTAGACAACCTGAACACATATGTGAACATGTAAACACACACCACACATATTAGACAACATGAATGCATTTCTGCAGACACACATATGTGCAGATATGTGTTCATATTATGTCATGTGTTTATATTATCTAATATGTGTCCATGTGTTCTTATATGTGTCTGATGTATCATCTGTTAATACACATCTTCATCTTTCAATTATGTGTCTGATGTGCACAGATATTTGTTCATATTATCTAATGTGTATCGTGTGTCCATTTGTTCTCATATGTGTTCATGTTATCTAATATGTGTGTCCATGTGGTCTTATATGTGTCTCATGTGTATGTCTGTTAAGATGCATGTTCATCTTTCCAACTTTGTGTCTGATGTGTGCATGTTTTCAGTAACTGTTGATGTTTCCAGATATGTGTCTGATGTGGGCATCAATGGCTACCGAGCAGTGTGTCAACACAAGGTGCTGCAGAGTGCCAACATCCCCCCACAGCTGTGCCGCACCTACCCCCCATGTTTCCTGGAATGGGTTGCAGCTCAGAGGAAAGCCAACATGGCACTGCACGTCAAATTCCCAGATGGTATGTGTCAGATATATTGTGTGCTCCATTTTCATATGTCATTGTCTTTTAGCCTCAATGATAATAGTTGTCTGTTATTTTGTTGGTCATTACTGACCTTGTATTTTCTTCTCAATCAATCAAGTTTATTTCGTAACAAGGCCTTAGGACCACGTACAATACAAAATAAACAAGTGTAATTATAAGATAGTGGCAATTGACAGTTAGATTCATATGTATAAAGAACGCAATGACAATGCTTCCTTAATGTAAGTAGAACAATTTGTTGCTGTTGAAAAATTGGTACATGATAGTGTGTTTAGAAAGTATTGCTGATCTATGTAATTTGGTAATGCTTTAAAATACTTACAGCGCAAGTCATAATAAATTTTACATTCCAAAAGGAAATGAAATTCATTTTCTACAAAATTATCGTTACAAATATTACAAAGTCTTTGGTGCCTCGGAACTCCATCAAGTCTACCGTCTACCAGTATTTATATATATTGGAAGTGCACCGATTTGTAACATTGTTATTCTCCGTCTCGCATCTTTAGATTTTCTTCTGAAATCTTTGAAATGAATTAAAACTGTTTATGTACCTTTACTGGCTTGCGATGAGAATACTGGTACTGCATTTTATGAGAAATATGCAAGTGTGTTAGATTATATGGATAATTCTTACAAGTAATAAAAAGTGACTTAAGTTATTGTGGTGGTGTGATTGTTTTCAGACCGCGAACATTTGGGCCATGTTGAATCCTGGACATCTGGAGAACTCTTCACATCACACTTATTGAAGCAGAGGTATGGAGTTCAGTCTGTTCATGTCTGCTGTTGTTAAATTTGACATCATTTGTCCGAGAACTTCTTTTTACATCAAATACAGTCAAACACTGTTGTGTCAAAGTTGAAAGAACCTCAGTAAATATTTCCGTTATCCAAGGTTTGACGCACACGAAAAATAACATAGCATACATCTAACGACTTACATGAGAAATGAATAACAGAGAAACAGGAATTTGTGATTTAGTGTTAGGGCATTGCTGAACTGCCATCCCCGTGTCATACTTAGTCTCAATGGATTTCAATATTACTGTGTAGGAACCATATTTTGTCACATCAGATTCAATACATCATAGGTAATAATGATGAACAGGGAAGGAAAACACAGAGACCAAGCTTTTGCTTCAAGACAACCATCACTTCAACAAATCAAAGTTTGACACAACAGTGTTTGACTGTATAACACAAATATTGCATTCCGGAGAATTGACGTCAGTAATCAACTTATAATTTTTATCTGACAGAGGTTTGCCAGAGAATGCCCATGGCTGGACGCTAGTATTGCAAGAGGATCTTGATTACTACGAACTGATGGGATATGACTATGTCCTTGACCTTGTCAGTGAGATTGAGATTGCCCCGGGATTCCCGGTGTGTAAGTCCTACTTCCTGGTGTCGACAGATAGGAGCCAGGAGAGAGTCAGTCAGCGGAGACATGCTCACACAGATGGGTGAGTCTGGAGCCTTCAACAGTTGTACTTTAACCAAACACCTTTTGAGGAAGAATGTAAATTCTTTGAAATCAATGTGCAAAGAAAATGCTCAAATGAAATTTATGATGACTTCATTCAGCAAATCTTTATTTCCAATTTACATTGGGTTACCATAAGAAACATAGGGTTGAGATGGGGTTACCATAAGGAACATGGGGTTATCATAAGAAACATGGGGGTTGAGATGGGGTTACCAGATGGAACATGGGGGTTGAGATGGGGTTACCATAAGGAACATGGGGTTGTCATTAGAAACATGGGGGTTGAGATGGGGTTACTATAGGCAACATGGGGGTTGAGAAGGGGTTACCATATGGAACATGGGGGTTGAGATGGGGTTACCATATGGAACTTGGGGGTGGAGATGGGGTTACCATATGGAACATGGGGGTTGAGATGGGGTTACCATATGGAACATGGGGGTTGAGATGGGGTTACCATAGGCAACATGGGGGTTGAGATGGGGTTACCATAATGGAACATGGGGTTTGAGATGGGGTTACCATAGGCAACATGGGGGTTGAGATGGGGTTACCATAAGGAACATGGAGTTGAGATTAGGTTACCATTATGAAGAAACATGGGAGTGAGAAGATGTTTAGCACATGAAAGTGAAACTTCATGTGTTATGACATATGACTATGACACTGTATGGAAGCATATGCAAAAACTCCCATTGTTCATTGTATGTATATTGCAGCGCCCACAACCCTGACCGAGATCGCCTGATGGTGGTGATTGGCTCCCTGCCCCAGATGATCAAACGGACTTCCCACAGCCTTCCTCTGGACACGTGTCAGATATCAACAAGCATCGCACAACATCAACATCAAAAACAATTGTTCAAAATGGTACCACGGAAAATCTCAATTTCTCAATGACAAGTGTCCTCAACCAGCGACCAACAGAAATTTTGGAAAATGGTTTGTCAGAGAGCAAGCTAAATGTTCGCTACAACAAACGGCGGGCACCAGCACCGCCATTAGCCAATGGCCATGTTTCAAATGGATTGTCAAATGGGGAAATCACAACCATTCTTGAAGTCGAGAGTGACATTGATCTTGCAGAAAACAAACTTAACAACCGTTATCGAGCTCAGAATGGCGATACCAAAATATACACAGATACTAATGGTGATCTTTCACAAAGCAAACTCAACACTCGATATGTCAAGTCAAACAAAGGTAATGCCAGGAACAAATCAGGTGTTGCTGATCAAATAAGTCGCAAGGACAAAGTGTTTGATCGAAGGTCAGTAGCTTCAGACCTGTCTGATGGTCAATCTGCCTGGTCCAACTGGGTCGACGATGTGTTCAATGATGCTCTGTTTAATGAGGTCCAGGATGACATCAGTGACGGACGTTCCCTAGAACAGAGGATCAAGGGAGGAGGGAAGGGTATCCCTGGCCTCACAACACAGCAGGTAGGCAAGGGGGGACTCTCAAAGGATGCTTGGGAGGGACTCTCAGGGAAGGCTAAGGAGCTAGGGATTTTCAGGGGAAGCTCAGGAGGGACTCTGATAACACTATTGTCAACAGTATGACCTGTTGTACTGAATACTTCCCACTATTGTCAACAGTATAGCCTATTGTGTAAAATACACCCACTATTGTCAACAGCATAGCCTACTGTGTAGAATGCTCCCACTATTGTCAACAGTATAGCCTATTGTGTAGAATGCACCCACTATTGTCAACAGCATAGCCTATTGTGTAGAATGCTCCCACTATTGTCAACAGTATAGCCTATTGTGTAGAATGCACCCACTATTGTCAACAGTATAGCCTATTGTGTAGAATGCACCCACTATTGTCAACAGCATAGCCTATTGTGTAGAATGCACCCACTATTGCCAACAGTATAGCCTATTGTGTAGAATGCACCCACTATTGTCAACAGTATAGCCTATTGTGTAGAATGCACCCACTATTGTCAACAGTATAGCCTAGCCTATTGTGTAGAATGCACCCACTATTGTCAGTAGCATAGCCTATTGTGTAGAATGCACCCACTATTGTCAACAGTATAGCCTATTGTGTAGAATGCACCCACTATTGTCAACAGCATAGCCTACTGTGTAGAATGCTCCCACTATTGTCAACAGTATAGCCTATTGTGTAGAATGCACCCACTATTGTCAACAGTATAGCCTATTGTGTAGAATGCACCCACTATTGTCAATAGCATAGCCTATTGTGTAGAATGCACCCACTATTGCCAACAGTATAGCCTATTGTGTAGAATGCACCCACTATTGTCAACAGTATAGCCTATTGTGTAGAATGCACCCACTATTGTCAACAGTATAGCCTACTGTGTAGAATGCACCCACTATTGTCAGTAGCATAGCCTATTGTGTAGAATGCACCCACTATTGTCAACAGTATAGCCTATTGTGTAGAATGCACCCACTATTGTCAACAGTATAGCCTACTGTGTAGAATGCACCCACTATTGTCAACAGTATAGCCTACTGTGTAGAATGCACCCACTATTGTCAACAGTATAGCCTATTGTGTAGAATGCACCCACTATTGTCAACAACATAGCCTATTGTACTGAAATGTGAATGCATTCAGTTATCGGCAACAGTGTATGCATGTGTTCCTATCTGTTGTAGCAGCCGTTAATACCTTCTGGACAGATTGGTCTGGGTCTCCCGCCAACAACACCCATCACCCCCAACATTGGCTTAGGAGTGGGATTTGGTGGAACAGGTATGATCACAAGAACTATGAACATATTTCATTAAATTGCTGAAGTATCTAACTTTGATCAGTGGGTACCTGGTATGTTTGAAGTGAGAAAAAACAAAGAATCTTTCTTAGTCAGGATTATATTTGTTTTGTCATAATGAAGAATAATATGTGGAATGTTTAATGCTTTCTGTCTTAGAAGAAATAATACCTTACTCAGATGCTCTTCCATTGCTTCTCCTTCAGACCCAGTTCAGCAACTAGTGGCCCAGCAGGTGCTTGCTCAGCAGCAAGCACAGCAGCAGGCTCTAGCACAGCAGCAACAACAGCAGGCTGTGTTACAGGCTTATATGGTGAGTAGATATCTGGGTACAATATAACCTGGGAACATGCAATATTTATGTCTTTCAATGAGTCAATAATAATTTCAGTTATAGCAAATACATTTATGCAATTGCCTATTGGAAGAATTAGATTGAAACCTTTTTAAGTTTAGCCCCATAACGTTGATGTGTTGTGGTAGATGATGAAGTGTTGGTTCCAACAGGAAACCGATCAGCACTAATGTGTTTTGAACCAGAGATAATTCCATTTATCATTCCTGAATCGCTGCCACAAGAGACCGGTGGGATCGAGTGGTATTATCTGGAGGAATGGTCTTGGGTGTTAAATAGAATCCCACTCTGGTATATTTTGATATCAAACTGATCAACAGTCAAATTAAGGTGACGTGTTTATCACTTTGTGTTGATATATTTCGTATCAAAAGATTCATTCCTAGGAGATATTGCTGCAATGTATTGCATCATAATGCTCTGTGGACTATGGTGACATCATTGGTTACAATGGTGAACTGTCACAATGACTTTCTACACTCAAGGCACTGGTTATTAGTGTTTACAAACTAAAAAGGGTGGAAGAATGATCTTAGATGATAACAAGAATATCACCCTCATGTCCCTCATATTAAATACAAATTGAAAACTGTTCAGCAATGTTGATATAACCAGTGTATGAAATAAGCCAAAAATCCAGCCAGACATCAGGGCTGTTAACTTCAAAATGTTACCAGCCCAAAATGGATTTAACCAGACCAAATATGTTGAATTTACTCAAATGTATGGAATATCTAAAAAAAAATTACCAGACCATCGGGCTGGCCAGCTGTAAATTTAGACCGTCCGTCAGAAATCTAGACCGCCTCAGGCAGTCGGACGGGCCTTATTTCATACACTGATATAACATAGTTTAAACTCAGGTCAGTTCTCCATTCTGTATATTATTTATGTGCCTCAGAAATGCCAGTAAATGCAAGTATGATTGAAAAAGTTTTGCTGGTAATGAAGAGATCATACATATTAATTATCATTATCACAGCAAGCACAGCGGCAACAAGAACAACAGCAACAACAGCAGCAACAACAAGCTATCCTCCAGGCTGCCCTACAGCAACAGCAGCAACAGCCTGTTCTGTCCCAGCAACAACAAACCTCTGCTCTGCGTGCAGCACTTGCACAACAAGAACTGCAGAACAAGTTGTTAAAGCAGAGCATCGAGCAGGAGCTGTTGAAACAGCAGCTGCAGCAGGTCAAGGTGACCCCCACACCCATTGTCAGCCCTGCCCCCAGTTTTGGGTCAGCCCTTCCTTCAGCCCTTCCTTCAGCCCTTCCTTCAGCCACACCATCAGGCATACATCCAGAGACAGGCCAGCCAATTGCCACTGGCAGTCAGTTCCCAGGCCAGAGAAACCGAGGATATGGTGTTTCCAGTGATCCTCCCCCCTGTACCTAGTAAAAAGGTTGCCTTCCAGAAGAGCAAATTTGAAGGGCAGACCCATCAGCCAGCTAGGTATACTATCACTACACAGGCAGCTGGTGGTGCCAACAAGCAGGTTGGCATTATTGGAATAGAAACTGGCCGACAAGAAGCTGATCAGCAGGCAACATCTCCACCGTCGCAACCTCCTCAACCACCTCAACCACCTCCCCCTCCTCCTCCACCAGAACAGTTTGCTGACACTCCGTCTCCTCCTCCTACTGTACACCAGCAGACAGGCAGCCCTGCTCCTCCCCCACCACCACCTCCCCCTCCTCCAGCGCCAGAAATTATTTCATCCAATGACAAAACAAAAACTATTCGTATCCGCGTTGGCAACATTGTGTGGCCACCAGTGAAAGAGACAGAGGAGAAGTATCAACGAGAAGTGGGCAAGCTGCTCATAGACGAGAAAGTCAGCAGTAACTTGGAAAACAGGTATGGAGGTAAGAAGACGGCTGTCAAGATAGAAACAAAAGTTGATGAAACAAGACCTAAATCCATCCTGAAGAAACCTGATGATGAAAGTAGGCCACCACTGAAGAAAACAAAGTCCTTGGTTGATACCCATGCCAACACCATGAAGCTACTGGAGAGCAAGCTTGGAGGGGGTGGAGCTGCTAAACGGGAAGAAACGAAACCCAAGGTGATGGCAGAGGCAACCCAGACAACAGACACCCTCAAGTCCACCAAAACATCAACAACAACCATGCCAATACCACCTCCACCTCCTCCACCACCTCCACCACCTCAAGGTAAGAACATTCTACTCACACCATCATTGGCTTTATGCAGATATTTAACACCTGTCTGGAAATATTGTTTGGGCAAGACAATCCTGACATCATGAGCCTATATTCACCATGGGACATTGTGACTTGTATCAAACAAGTCACTGGCCTGATCCCCTGAGTACATTTCTTCTTGTGACCAGAAGGTGCCAAAGAAGCAATTCTAAATGCTTTAGTGGATAGAGCAGCCATACAGAAAGTGGAAGGTCAGTGGTTCAAACCCTGACCATGTGATGCCAGATGTTAAAATATGGTACTTGTTGTTACCCTGTCTGGCCCTTGGTTGGCTCAGAGATAATCTACTGTGTCTAAGTAAGTGTGCTCACATTTAAACCCTGTTGTATGTGACAGATGTGAGGCCTGATGATCCTCAGCCTCTTTAGATGAAAAGCAATTTTGAACTTCTCAAGAATTTTCAAGAGTTATTGGCTTGGGATTACAATTTAATACACTCTTTGCATGGCATTTAGAAGTGATACACATAAAGGGTCACATTTTATGGATATCAACTTCTGTAGTATGAAGAACGCAATGTTTTCCTGGATATTCTAACATCATATTACAGAAGTTTACTTTTAACTTACTATCCCCCTTTATGGTTAAACAATTTATGTTCAAGATTGTGGAAGTGCCTTGTTTTCAATAAGAGCTTCATAACCATTGACTGATGAATATTTCTAGACAATAATCTGTACGCATTGTCTGCAGGTGATGCTCCCCCTCTCCCCTCCCGCCCCCCACCCAAGAAGAAGGTGACGGCTAACATCACCACCACCATCACAGAGACCACTACAGAGACGGTGGAGGTAGCAGCCAGGACATCACCAGTGTACAGCACGACGATTGAGGAGCCGAAGCAACAGATTGACTATGCTGCCCTTGAGAGAGCTATCACAGAGCTGTACCCTCAGAACAAGACATTCTTCCTGGCCTACAACCGAGTTCCCTGGACTCTACACATCAGGAAGGAGGTACGTACTGAAGCTACAGGTGCAGCAATCAGGTACAGGGAACCCAACTGCACCTTCTTAATCCAGACATCCTGCCTAATATGGACAATTATCACACACACGCTTGACCTTTGATTATTTCAATTAATTGGAACACAACTAGCTATTGTTCATCAAAGTCTGAGACCTTCACAATTCAGGTATGGTGTCCATGTTGCAGGTGTTCTGGCCATCTGAGAGACTGGACAAGCCACTAGCACTGCACCTGCTGTTCTGCCAGATTGTGAAGGATGTCTACAACAGTGGCTGTATTCGCATCTCCAAGGACGACAGAGTCAAGATGAAGAGTCATCTCGGTACGTAACCCAGTACATCAAAATACTGAAAATACATTGTCATGGGTCTTATATGGATGAGGTGTGTTGGATTCCTTCACAGAAATTTCTATGTGTTCTTCTGGAAGCATTATTAGGAAGGGAAATGTCACTGTATGAATGAAGACCTGGGAAATTTATATCACACCCTGAATGAATGATGTGAAGATAATTGACATGTACTCTTTTCTAGCATTTGTCTTATTGCCCATGCGTATTTAGCATGTCATCCTAATATTCAATTGAGTCTGAATATATCCCATGGGCTATAATTGCATGGAACATTTCTCATAGTCTCTCTCAGTCTCACTAATGCTTGATGTTGTGACAATATCTTGAGAAACTGTAAATTATGTGATTTCTGGAATATTTGTTTTACAGATATATGGCCAGGAAAGATAATGTTATGTTTGTGTCGTAATTAGATGCAAGCTAGTGACTGTGGTTTTTCTGTTTCCAGAGGCCCAGGGCATAACCAAGGATAACTATATCACCAAGGACGTCTCCAACCAAGTCAAGAAGATCATCATCGACACAGCCAAGGAGTGGCCATGTTATTTCTGCAGACTCTTCCCAGTTGCTGTAAGTTTACCTTCATAAATGCCTATGTGAAAAAAAACACCACCTCAAAACTCTTTTTCTATCAAAACCATAAACAGTGAATTAAGTTTGTTTTCAGAGATTGAGCATTAGTTATCAAACGTAGTGCAAACGTCAATGATACTAGAACTTGTTCAGTCATAGTTACTGGGCAATGATACACCCTTCTGTGTTCCTGTTCCAAGGAAAGTCTGTAACATTAACAAGAAAGCATGGATTGTCATGTTCAGACTTATTGTGTGCTTAATAACAGTTACCGGTAGTTAAAGATTGGGTGAGCGGTTGGTAGGGACCCCCCTGTTGGAACAGGATGCACCAGGAAGTGTGGATGCTTATGAAAATATTCATTCTTAATAGGGGGTGCTAATAGGAGATTAGTTAAAATAGGTTTAGAGATGAGCCTTTGTTGGAACATGATGCTTAATAATGTGGACACCGTATCTGCAACAGGATGCTGCCCTTCCTACAGATTCACAACCACTATCAATTAATAGTTGATGGTATTACATGGGTACCAGTCAGAACCTGGATAGAACTATGCTGTATAGAATATACTGTAACTTGAGCATCAAACAGTGTGACAATCTGTGTGTCTTCTAGTCAAGCTGTCACTACGTGGGTACCAGTCAGGAACTGTCAGTACACAACTATTCTGTACAGAACATACTGTAACTTGTGACAATCTGTGTGTCTTCCAGCCAAGCTGTCACTACATGGGTACCAGTCAGGAACTGTCAGTACACAACTATTCTGCACAGAACATACTATAACTTGTGACAATCTGTGTGTCTTCCAGTCTAGCTATCACTGCATGGGTACCAGTCAGGACCTGTCAGTGCACAACTATATTGTATAGAACATATTGTAACATGGGCATGATACCAGGTACCTAACTCTCTATGTTTCCTTCCAGTCCAGCGGCCACTACACTGGTGTGAAGTATCTTGGTGTGAGTCACAGTGGCTTGAGGCTGGTCAACAGGGAGAGGGCATTCATGGATGACCACCTGTCAGTCACTGAGGAAATCAGGTTTGTAAAACTCTCACCTGGCACACCTGGCACACCTGGAACTCAGACACTTTATGACACCCTTTCAAAATCAAATATTTTGTTTTATTTCGTGTATTCAATCACAAAAAAAGGATGCAATTTAACCCTGTATGAATGTACTTGAATCTGTCATCGTTGTGTAATGAAGTTCATCTGTAATCTGGTGTTTTGCTACAGGTTTGGCGATGTGGTGGATACCGTGATGCCGAGTAGTACCACCTTGCAGCTCAACCTCAAGACCAAGTCCATTATGTTCTTCACACCACGGGTAGGTGAAAGTTACACATTCTCAGGTGGTAAAACCACACACCATCAGTAGTACCATGTTCACAACGTTCCAAGTCCCTGCCGGGGATGAATTGTTTTGTTCTGTGGTTACACAAAATTGGATGTTAGGATGGGTCAGTGATTATCACCATCCTTTCACAGAGAGGACTCCTACATTATGTAACCGCCTCCGTGGTGTAGTGGTTAGAGCGTCCGCCCGGAGAGCGGAAGGTCATGGGTTCGATCCCCAGCCGCGCCATACCAAAAGACGTTAAAATATGGTACTTGTTGGTCCCTGCCTGGCGTTCGGCATTAATGGGTACATCAAGGACTGGTCGGCTCGGAGTCAGTATAATGTGTCTGAGTGGGGTATTCATGCTTCACTGCGGCATGGTATCTCAGTGGGCTAGCACTATAAAACCAGCTTAAGTCTGGGCTAGTACAAGCAGCCGCACATACACATACACATGCATGCATGCACGTCGTCATGAGCGCAATATTCTCAAGTATGACGTTAAACCCAATTTCACCTCACCTCACCTACATTATGTTGTGACTACTTTGGAAGCCTCAGTATACTGGTTACCTCACTGTGTTGTATCTCCAGGGGAAGCCACTGTATACTGGTTACCTCACTGTGTTGTATCTCCTGGGGAAGCCACTGTATACTGGTTACCTCACAGTGTTGTATCTCCTGGGCAAGCCACTGTATACTGGTTACCTCACTGTGTTGTATCTCCTGGGGAAGCCGCTGTATACTGGTTACCTCACTGTGTTGTATCTCCTGGGGAAGCCAGCTATATACTGGTTTACCTCACAGTCTTGTATCTCCTGGGGAAGCCGGCTGTATACTAGTTACCTCACTGTGTTGTGTCTCCTGGGGAAGCAGCTGTATACTGGTTACCTCACTGTGTTGTGTCTCCTGGGAAGCCCGGCTGTATACTGGTTACCCCACTGTGTTGTATCTCCTGGGAAGAAGCTGCATACTAGTTACCTCACTGTCTTGTGTCTCCTGGGGAAGCAGCTGTATACTGGTTACCTCACTGTGTTGTGTCTCCTGGGAAGCCATAGTATACTGGTTACCTCACTGTGTTGTGTCTCCTGGGAAGCCACTGTATACTGGTTACCTCACTGTGTTGTGTCTCCAGGGGAAGCCACTGTATACTGGTTACCTCACTGTGTTGTACTTTCGGGGAAGCCATAGTATACTTGTTACCTCACTGTGTTGTATCTCCTGGGGAAGCCACTGTATACTAGTTACCTCACTGTGTTGTATCTCCTGGGGAAGCCAGCTGTATACTGGTTACCTCACTGTGTTGTATCTCCTGGGGAAGCCAGCTGTATACTGGTTACCTCACTGTGTTGTATCTCCTGGGGAAGCAGCTGTATACTAGTTACCTCACTGTCTTGTGTCTCCTGGGAAGCCAGCTGTATACTGGTTACCTCACTGTGTTGTGTCTCCTGGGAAGCCATAGTATACTGGTTACCTCACAGTGTTGTATCTCCTGGGAAGCCAGCTGTATACTGGTTACCTCACTGTGTTGTATCTCCAGGGGAAGCCACTGTATACTGGTTACCTCACTGTGTTGTATCTCCTGGGGAAGCCACTGTATACTGGTTACCTCACAGTGTTGTATCTCCTGGGGAAGCCGCTGTATACTGGTTACCTCACTGTGTTGTATCTCCTGGGGAAGCCGCTGTATACTGGTTACCTCACTGTGTTGTATCTCCTGGGGAAGCCGCTATATACTGGTTACCTCACAGTCTTGTATCTCCTGGGAAGCGTAGCTGTATACTAGTTACCTCACTGTGTTGTGTCTCCTGGGGGAAGCTGTATACTGGTTACCCCACTGTGTTGTGTCTCCTGGGGAAGCTGCTGTATACTGGTTACCTCACTGTGTTGTATCTCCTGGGGAAGCTGGCTGTATACTAGTTACCTCACTGTCTTGTGTCTCCTGGGGAAGCCTGGCTGTATACTGGTTACCTCACTGTGTTGTGTCTCCTGGGGAAGCCATAGTATACTGGTTACCTCACTGTGTTGTGTCTCCTGGGAAGCCACTGTATACTGGTTACCTCACTGTGTTGTGTCTCCTGGGAAGCTGCTGTATACTGGTTACCTCCCACTGTGTTGTACTTGGGGAAACCATAGTATACTGGTTACCTCACTGTGTTGTATCTCCTGGGAAGCCACTGTATACTAGTTACCTCACTGTGTTGTGTCTCCTGGGGAAGCCAGCTGTATACTGGTTACCTCACTGTGTTGTGTCTCCTGGGAAGCCTGTATACTGGTTACCTCACTGTGTTGTATCTCCTGGGGAAGCCAGCTGTATACTAGTTACCTCACTGTCTTGTGTCTCCTGGGAAGCCAGCTGTATACTGGTTTACCTCACTGTGTTGTGTCTCCTGGGGAAGCCATAGTATACTGGTTACCTCACAGTGTTGTATCTCCTGGGAAGCAGCTGTATACTAGTTACCTCACTGTGTTGTATCTCCAGGGGAAGCCATAGTATACTGGTTACCTCACTGTGTTGTGTCTCCTGGGAAGCCATAGTATACTGGTTACCTCACTGTGTTGTGTCTCCAGGGGAAGCCATAGTATACTAGTTACCTCACTGTGTTGTGTCTCCTGGGGAAGCCACTGTATACTAGTTACCTCACAGTGTTGTATCTCCTGGGAAGCCAGCTGTATACTAGTTACCTCACTGTGTTGTATCTCCAGGGAAGCCACTGTATACTAGTTACCTCACAGTGTTGTATCTCCTGGGGAAGCAGCTGTATACTAGTTACCCCACTGTGTTGTACTTTCGGGAAGCCATAGTATACTGGTTACCTCACTGTGTTGTATCTCCTGGGGAAGCCACTGTATACTAGTTACCCTCACAGTGTTGTATCTCCTGGGGAAGCCAGCTGTATACTAGTTACCTCACTGTGTTGTATCTCCAGGGGATGCCATAGTATACTGGTTACCCTCACTGTGTTGTGTCTCCTGGGGAAGCCATAGTATACTGGTTACCTCACTGTGTTGTGTCTCCAGGGGAAGCCATAGTATACTAGTTACCTCACTGTGTTGTGTCTCCTGGGGGAAGCCATAGTATACTGGTTACCTCACTGTGTTGTGTCTCCTGGGAAGCCATAGTATACTGGTTACCTCACTGTGTTGTACTTCTGGGAAGCCATAGTATACTGGTTTACCTCACTGTGTTGTATCTCCTGGGGAAGCCACTGTATACTAGTTACCTCACAGTGTTGTATCTCCTGGGGAAGCCTGCTGTATACTAGTTACCTCACTGTGTTGTATCTCCAGGGGAAGCCAGCTGTATACTAGTTACCTCACTGTGTTGTATCTCCTGGGGAAGCAGCTGTATACTGGTTACCTCACTGTGTTGTATCTCCTGGGAAGTCAGCTATATACTGGTTACCCCTCACAGTTTTGTATCTCCTGGGAAGCAGCTGTATACTAGTTACCTCACTGTGTTGTATCTCCTGGGAAGCCACTGTATACTGGTTACCCTCACTGTGTTCTATCTCCTGGGAAGGCCACTGTATACTGGTTACCTCACTGTGTTGTGTCTCCTGGGAAGCCATAGTATACTAGTTACCTCACTGTGTTGTATCTCCTGGGGAAGCTGCTGTATACTGGTTACTCTCACTGTGTTGTATCTCCTGGGAAGCTGCTGTATACTGGTTACCTCACTGTGTTGTGTCTCCTGGGAAGCCATAGTATACTGGTTACCTCACTGTGTTGTATCTCCTGGGAAGCCATAGTATACTGGTTACCTCACTGTGTTGTATCTCCTGGGGAAGCTGCTGTATACTAGTTACCTCACTGTGTTGTATCTCCTGGGAAGCCATAGTATACTAGTTACCTCACTGTGTTGTGTCTCCTGGGAAGCCATAGTATACTGGTTACCTCACTGTGTTGTGTCTCCTGGTTAAGCCATAGTATACTAGTTACCTCACTGTGTTGTATCTCCTGGGGAAGCTGCTGTATACTGGTTACCCCACCGTGTTGTATCTCCTGGGGAAGAGCTGCATACTAGTTACCTCACTGTGTTGTGTCTCCTGGGAAGCTGCTGTATACTGGTTACCTCACTGTGTTGTATCTCCTGGGGAAGCCGCTGTATACTGGTTACCTCACTGTGTTGTATCTCCTGGGAAGCCATAGTATACTGGTTACCTCACTGTGTTGTATCTCCTGGGGAAGCCACTGTATACTGGTTACCCCACTGTGTTGTATCTCCTGGGAAGTCGCTATATACTGGTTACCCCACAGTCTTGTATCTCCTGGGGAAGCCGCTGTATACTGGTTACCTCACTGTGTTGTATCTCCTGGGGAAGCCACTGTATACTGGTTACCTCACAGTCTTGTATCTCCTGGGAAGCAGCTGTATACTAGTTACCCTCACTGTGTTGTATCTCCTGGGAAGCCACTGTATACTGGTTACCTCACTGTGTTGTATCTCCAGGGGAAGCCGCTGTATACTGGTTACCCTCACTGTGTTGTATCTCCTGGGGAAGCCATAGTATACTAGTTACCTCACTGTGTTGTATCTCCTGGGGAAGCTGCTGTATACTGGTTACCTCACTGTGTTGTATCTCCTGGGGAAGCCATAGTATACTGGTTACCTCACTGTGTTGTATCTCCTGGGGAAGCCATAGTATACTGGTTACCTCACTGTGTTGTATCTCCTGGGGAAGCCACTGTATACTAGTTACCTCACTGTGTTGTATCTCCTGGGAAGCCATAGTATACTAGTTACCTCACTGTGTTGTGTCTCCTGGGGAAGCCATAGTATACTGGTTACCTCACTGTGTTGTGTCTCCTGGTTAAGCCATAGTATACTAGTTACCTCACTGTGTTGTATCTCCTGGGGAAGCCGCTGTATACTGGTTACCTCACTGTGTTGTATCTCCTGGGGAAGCCGCTGTATACTAGTTACCTCACTGTGTTGTATCTCCTGGGGAAGCCGCTGTATACTGGTTACCTCACTGTGTTGTATCTCCTGGGGAAGCCAGCTGTATACTAGTTACCTCACTGTGTTGTATCTCCTGGGGAAGCCATAGTATACTGGTTACCTCACTGTGTTGTATCTCCTGGGAAGGCCACTGTATACTGGTTACCTCACTGTGTTGTATCTCCTGGGAAGTCGCTATATACTGGTTACCTCACAGTCTTGTATCTCCTGGGGAAGCCGCTGTATACTAGTTACCTCACTGTGTTGTATCTCCTGGGGAAGCCACTGTATACTGGTTACCTCACTGTGTTGTATCTCCTGGGGAAGCCAGCTGTATACTGGTTACCTCACTGTGTTGTATCTCCTGGGGAAGCCACTGTATACTGAGTTACCTCACTGTGTTGTATCTCCAGGGGAAGCCACTGTATACTGGTTACCTCACTGTGTTGAATCTCCTAGGGAAGCCACTGTATACTGGTTACCTCACTGTGTTGTATCTCCAGGGGAAGCCACTGTATACTGGTTACCTCACTGTGTTGTATCTCCTGGGGAAGCCACTGTATACTGGTTACCTCACTGTGTTGTGTCTCCAGGGGAAGCCACTGTATACTGGTTACCTCACTGTGTTGTGTCTCCAGGGGAAGCCACTGTATACTGGTTACCTCACTGTGTTGTATCTCCTGGGGAAGCCACTGTATACTGGTTACCTCACTGTGTTGTATCTCCAGGGAAGCCACTGTATACTGGTTACCTCACTGTGTTGTATCTCCAGGGGAAGCCACTGTATACTGGTTACCTCACTGTGTTGTATCTCCTGGGGAAGCCACTGTATACTAGTTACCCCACTGTGTTATATCTCCTGGGAAGCCACTGTATACTGGTTACCCCACTGTGTTGTATCTCCTGGGAAGCCATAGTATACTAGTTACCCCACTGTGTTGTATCTCCCTGGGAAGCCAGCTGTATACTGGTTACCTCACTGTGTGATATATCCTGGGGAAGCCAGCTGTATACTGGTTACCCCACTGTGTTGTATCTCCTGGGGAAGCCACTGTATACTGGTTACCTCACTGTGTTGTAGCTTCGGGGAAGCCATAGTATACTGGTTACCTCACTGTGTTGTATCTCCTGGGGAAGCCACTGCATACTGGTTACCTCACTGTGTTATATCTCCTGGGGAAGCCACAGTATACTGGTTACCCTCACTGTGTTGTATCTCCAGGGAAGCCACTGTATACCTGTTACCTCACTGTGTTGTAGCTTCGGGGAAGCCATAGTATACTGGTTACCTCACTGTGTTGTATCTCCTGGGGAAGCCACTGTATACTGGTTACCTCACTGTGTTATATCTCCTGGGGAAGCCACTGTATACTGGTTACCTCACTGTGTTGTATCTCCTGGGGAAGCCACTGTATACTCGTTACCTCAACGATTAGTATCGATACCTGTGATACATGCATGACAACTAAACTGACATTGCTTCCACTGTCTACATTTCTCGCAGTATATGTTCTCAGATGTGGAAACAGGTCTTGCTGAGGGCAGGGCTTTTATGTCATGTGTAGACATGTTGGCATGTGGAGTTTTCCCTAAATATATATCCAAGTTAGTTAATAAATAATATTTTCATTACAAGACAAGTCTCTATAACAAATACATCAAACATACCTGTATCAGTAACGGAAATATAATGTATCATATTTATAGATACAATAATGTTTAAAGAACAACGTATGGCAGTAGACCATGGGTGATGTTATCTTGCTGTGGACATACAATCAGTGAGAGCCTGACTCAGCCCAAGCTACAGGTGTTGTGTACAGATGCACTGCTGTGTCACATCCCCCGTGTCAGGCTGCCACATTTATTACCACACAGTGTCATGAAGTTTAACAGTTATTATTTGTGGATGCTTATTCCCCCCATTGCCAGCTGCACTGTACAGGACTCTAGGCAAACAGGTGAATCAGTTTTTGTTGTTAGGGAGATTGCATGTGTAATAGTTTGGGTGAATGTTAAGTGAATCAATTCAAAACTTTAGCAGTTTTTTACTGAATTGTTTATATTTATTGTGGAAATGATTCACAAGATATGTTCCACATTCTTTAACTGGTTTATGAAGAAACTGTTCTTGACATGGTTTGTTTTGGGGGGTTTCATTCGCAGCTTAATGTTATATATGTATGTGTTCCTATTCTTCTGCATGCTAGTGTATGTATGGGTCTACAGAGTGTTCTAATAGTTTTAGTTTGATTAAACCTTTGTTTATTGTGTAAGGTCTTTCTTAATATTTTTTGAAACCGAGAATGATATTGTGTGAGACTTGTTATGATGTGTGAGATCCATTTATATCATTTGTGAGACCCTTTTTGACAACATGCATTGTGACACACTTCTTGATAAAATATGAGAAACTTTCACCAAGTGAGGTTTCAATCCCAACAACATTGTCCCACCAGGCACTGTGTGTTAAACAATGGGGTTCTGTCATCAGTGCTGTAAGCCTACATAACCCTCCTCATCTAGACTCAGATGTGAGGAATCATTGGGAGACATGTCAGTGTAGCAGTGTGCCATGATCCATGTCTGGCTTGCCTAATGGTGAGGCTGCTCCACATGGCTGTATATGTGACAGTAGATGTAGTTTACCGTTGTGTGTTGACAATAAATAACAGGTGTGTTAGACTACAGGTGTGTTTAACTTGTCTCTTATCTTCCAGGCACAACAGATGAAGGATATGGTTGACAAGTTCTGCCAGGAGAGTGAGAAGGTAAGTCTGTGGCATTCTACCAGTTTCTAGATGTGAAACAAGTAATGTTTTCTGGTTGTCTGTACAGTGAGACAAGTAGCCGTATGAAGATATGGAGTGTGGGGTCCTGGTATTGCATGGTGCCTACTTATACAGTTACATGTATGATCAATCATATCAGATACATGCAGGTAGTATAGATGTGGAGTGGTTTTATTCTGAGAGAAATATTATACCATCTTAAATATACTGTTAATATATGGCTAGATATTTGTTTTCATTTCATGAATTGAGAAAGCTGTTCATCATGAAACACACAGACCCCTACACTCCCCACATCCACACCCGATTCTATGTCATTTCCCATTATGTCCTTCCCTACTCCTGCTACACCTCCATTCCCACACACCCATATCTTCACCACACCCTAACCACACCTATAGCCACACCCACAGCCCACACCCATAACCACTCCCCACTCTCACACCCACACCCTCTCCTCTCGCCTCCCACACCTATAGCCACACCCACACCTATAACCACTCCCTACTCTCACACCCACCTTTCTCCCAGCCTCCCACACCTATAGCCACACCCACACCCACTCTCACACCCACAACCCCTCCCACTCCCACACCTATAGCCACACACCACACCCATAACCACTCCCACTCTCACACCCACAACCTCTCCTACTCCCACACCTATAGATACACCCCACACCTATAATACACTCCATCACTCTCACACACCCACATCCTCTCCCACTCCCCACACTATATAGCTACACCCACACCTATAACACCCACACCCACCTACTCTCACACCCACACCTTTCTCCCACTCTCACACCTATAGCCACACCCACACCCATAACCACTCCCACTCTCACACCCACACCTCTCCCACTCCCACACCTATAGCTACACCCACACCCATAACCACTCCCACTACTCACACCCACACATTCTCTCCCACTCCCACACCTATAGCCACACCCACACCTATAACCACTCCCACTCTCACACCCACATCCTCTTTCTCCCCCGGCTCCCACACCTATAGCTACACCCACACCCATAACTCCACACAATTCCACACTCTCTACACCCACACCCATCCCACTCCCACACTATATAGCTACACCCACACCCATAACCACTCCCACTCTCACACCCACACAACTCACAACACTCTCCCGCCCACCCCACACCTATAGCCACACAGCTACACCCACACCCATAACCACTCCCACTCTCACACCTATAGCCACACCCACACCCATAACCACTCCCACTCTCACACCCACATCCTCTCCCACTCCCACACTATATAGCTACACCAACACCCACACCCATAACCACTCCCACTCTCACACCTATAGCCACACCCACACCCATAACCACTCCCACTCTCACACCCACATCCTCTCCCACTCCCACACTATATAGCTACACCCACACCCATAACCACTCCCACTCCCACACTATATAGCTACACCCACACCCATAACCACTCCCACTCCTCACACCACAACCCCTCCCCACACCCACACCTATAGCCACACCCACACCCACACCCATAACCCTCTCCCATCCTCTCCCACACCTATAGCCACTCCCACCCCATGCCTCCCACACTATAACCAATCCCACTCCTCACACCCACATCCTCTCCCACTCCCACACTATATAGCTACACCCACACCCATAACCACTCCCACTCCCACACTATATAGCTACACCCACACCCATAACCACTCCCACTCTCACACCCACAACCTCTCTCGCGCCCACATCTATAGCCACACCCACACCCACACCCACGCCCATAACCACTCCCACTCCCACACTATATAGCTACACCCATACCCATAACCACACCCTCTCACAATACCTTTCCCAATCCAGCTTACTCTCCCACACCCACACCCATAGCCGCATAACCACACCCTCTCCCCCAGTGAACACCATAACCACAAACACACTCACGCTTGTCCACTATGTGGTGAGGTAGCTTTGTTGTGACTGTTGATTCATCTAACCATAGACGAGATAAAGTTCACATACTCACCAGCAAACTCTCCAAATCACTCTTCACCTCAATTTTAAAAAGTAAAGTTTCACATTGACTGTATAGATGTGACTGAAATCTCTTGTCATCTCAAACTTCTTTCATAATCTTTTTCATATAAAAAAGATGGTGAGTGAAAACGAAATCTTTTCTTAACCATGTGTGTTTGTTTACTTTGAAATATTGTCCCTCTATAAGTGTGATGGGAATGCACTAATACTGCCGCCACTGTGTGTCCGTCCTCCATCTACTTCCAGCTATATCACAGCAGATCTATGTCTAGGAGGCCTGTTGTTGCTTTCCCTGTCAGTGTGTTGACTGAAACAACAAACCTCACAAACCAGCTATCTAACAGTTGCCTGGCAGAGTGACACAATGTACTGGATAAGTCTTCAGTCAGTTAGATCACAGCATGTAGACACACTCAACATTGTTATGTCTGATCAGTGTGTATGGAAGGTATTCATCTAAACTGATCTGTGTAAAGTACTATGAATATTTGAGGAGATTGTCAGGTGGCCCGTATCTTCCACAGCAACATGGACAAATTCTTATACTAACCTTGTGTGAAATGCTTGTGTTTGGGGAGAGTGTAAAGAATGTGTCCATTATTATGGCATCTCTTTGGGATGGTTTTTTCTGGATTGGTCTAAGCTACAGCTAAAGATTATTGAGTTTCCACTATCTCTATAGAAGTATATATGTATCAGAGGTACAGATAAGCTGCGTATCTGCGTAAATTACGCAAATATTTATGTGAAAACTCAATTCCTATTAAGTCTGTTGCGTACAAGTACGCTTGAATTTTTGAAAATACCCAATAATTTTGATCTTACATGCATACACACAAAAATGTCAAATCTTAGCTTGTGTACCGGTGGATAGATAAAATAACTGAGGAATACTGATAGCTTCTATTTCAGCACATGAACTTGGCAACTTGCAGTCTTTCTTATCGTTTCTCATTTTACAGATCAATATAAATAACAAATACGTAAACCAACATTTAAATTTTATTATATTTTTATAATTAATGGCAAAATACCCAATTGAGTTTAAGTAAGGTGGGTACAATTTGTTTGGTTACTCAAAGGAAAATTGATGAACACAAGCGAGTACATAACTCAATGACCCAAAAAGTTATCTGTAGCTCTATGTATACATGTTACTGCAACAACACTATGCACAGTTTTAGCATTTATCATACAATCAGGTGAAACAGACAACACACAAGATTATTAGTACTATATGTAGGTAATTATCTTACCTTCATGTAAAATACTTTAATGTCATTGGTCAATGATGCTTTAACAAGTTTCCGTGTCACCCTCTCAGGAGGGTGACAACTGGAAAAAATATTACCCGCTGCCACGGTAACCATCAAGCTAAAGCGCTAACAATCGTATGACGTTATAATATGACACATGCCGTGCCCATAGTTCGAAAACTGTTCGATGAGCTGTGTTCACTTCGTACAGATTTATTTTACCAACTTTCACTGCTCTATTTAAGCTATTTTATACATTTGTAAATAATTTTTGCATTGAAGTTTAGGCCAAAAAATTATATGCCAGCTAAAACAAAGCCTGATAAAAGGCTCCAAAATCTGTACCCCATGCAGTATAACCAGGATGGCCAAACAGAAACAGTGAACAGTATATTATGATGTACATCAACAAGGCACGTTCTGTAATCACATCTAGGTCCAGCCGACCCGTGAAGATTCGGGGTAGAATAGGTTCAGCAACCCATGTTTGCCACAAAAGGCGACTATGCTTGTCGTAAGAGGCGACTAACGGGATCGGGTGGTCAGGTTTGCTGACTTGGTTGACACATATCATCTGTTCCCAGTTGCGCAGATTGATGCTCATGCTAATGATCACTGGATTGTCTGGTCCAGAATCGATTATTTACAGACCACCGCCATATAGCTGGAATATTGCTGAGTGCGGCGTAACACTAAAGTCACTCACTCTCTCACTTGGTCCAGCCTATAGTCCCTCAGCTGACATCGTACAGTGGTCATGGATTGGCCTGAGTATTAGCTTTGGTGTGTCAACTCAGGGTTAGACTACTGTGTTACATGTCAATCACTTGCAACACTTTCGGCTTTCTTCCCACAATACTGAAATAATGTTCAAGGCACCCACTCTCACACACAATCATCTTGTTGAGTCACTATGATGTAATTGTTACTCAGTCAAGGTAGGGTATCAGATTCTGCCTAATGACCCATGTATTCAGTTAACTTGACGCTGAGGTCATTTAGTTTTCTTTGAAGTTAATATTGGATTACACTACTTGTTTTGCTCTACCATTTCATAGCTTTGGAACAATATGTGCTTGAAGTGACAAACTGATTTCTGTTCTCCGCCTTGCAGTTATAACATTGCAATAATTCCTAGACTGTCGGTAGTGGATGCATGTACTGGGGAGTGTAAAGGGTGTTTCATATGTCAGCTCACATAGATACATGTATTCTGATACACTAAGAATGAGGAACAGCAATCAGAAACTGTTTGTTTTTGCAATTTTTGTTAAGCTCAGCTGATGAGTTAATGTGAGTTAAGGCGTAGAAGGCACAGCCAACACCAGACGTAACAAACTTCCAGGAACTTTAATTGTCAGTAGGGTGTATTGTGATGAGTAATCACTGGGGAATTAGACCAGGGAATGTTACAGTGAAGTTTTCACCAGAACTACCTTCCTGTATGTTGAGTTGACTCCTGACCCAGTGATGATGGCATGTGTTCCCCTACAGGACAACAAATATGCTGTGGCCATTCGGGACTACGTAACAAGGGAATCCACACTGCTCAGTTTCCGCAGTGGGGACATTATAAAGCTCCTGGATCCTGAGATGAACTTAGATGAAGGTACAGTTGTCTCATCTCATAACAAATTTGAGTAGTCTCTCGTTACTTAAAGGTACAGTTGTCTCCCCATAGATGAAAGTATAGTAGTCTCCCTTAGATGAAGATGCAGTAGTCTCCCCTTCAATGAAAGTATAGTAGTCTCCCCTTAGATGAAGGTACAGGTATATTCCCCTAGATGAAAGTACAGTAATCTCCCCTTAGATAAGAAGGTTCAGTCAGCATATTCATGTTGGGAGTCATCATTTATAGCCTAATTAACTTTTATTTGTGCATCACTATTGTCATGTTTGTCTTTCTTTCCCGTAGGCTGGTTGTATGGGTCCCTGAATGGTCTTGTTGGAATGTTACCTGCTGAATATGTCAAACCCCTTGCTAGACATGAGGTGGAAACCAACAACATGAAGGTCAGTTGTCTCCCTTGTTTCAGTGGCAATTTTGAATGTTGTCATGAAGCACTAGCACTTTAGCACTAGACTTCACTTCAAACTAGATGAATTATGATTTTAAATAAGTGAATGCTTTGTTGCTGTTAGCATGCTCTGAGAATATTGTTTTATTTTTTCATCACAGGTTCAGTTGACACGGCAAACAAGTCGAGTAAGTCTCACACCATGAAATACATGACCTTCACTATTCCTTCTGCAAATTTCATACATAATAGTCACATAAGCAGTTTTAACATAAATATAATATTAAACTAGCAGGACTGTGATATGTATAGCATGTGCCTCAGGCATGTAGTATGGGACACAGTGATGCACAGGTTGCTACTCTACGCACCTGTTCTGTCATGCTGCAGTACCAGTGCAGCAGTTCCTCCAGGTATGGTCTGTGTTGCAGGATGGCCACTATGCTGATGACCACAGTGACACCAGCCAGGGCACCATCGTAGCAGATGGGAAGTACTCAATGATGGAGTTCGCTCTACTGCACTTCCGGGAGTCAATTGAAAAGTAAGTAATTTGTCACACTGAGAAACATCAGTGTCTATAAGCTCAGACCTTGTAACAGTGATCTTATATTAGTAATTTATAATATATACTCTGTAGGAATGTTGAAATGTTTATGTGAAATATTGACTGAGTAAGTCATTAGAAGCAAAATGGAATATTAGAAAATGGCAACTGAACCAAGTCTAATTATTGTTATAAATGACAGCCTGAACTGATTAACTTCTTACACTATGAGAAGGATGTGTGATATATTATCTGGCTATACAGGATGTGGAAGGAGTGTTATATTATGCTGGAGTGAGTGAGTGGCTGATTGATCTGATGACTGATTCACTAACAAACGTTCATTTGAACAGTACCGTCACCTTCTCCATCTTCATTGTTAGTAATTTGATTGAATTCCTTATTGGCCACTTTTATCATTCAAATCACTCAAATAAAGCTAGTAGTTGGAAGTGAGAATGTCCAGGATATTTAAAAGGAACAGACACTCAGTGGCTGGACCTGCGTCATCGTGTGGGACTCGATTCCCTGATACAGGTTTGGAGTTACCAGTGAGATACTGGATGGTCATTCATAGCCTGTTGCATGGAGTAGTTCACTACTCTGAGATATCTGTGTATCATGTTCCAGAAAGATGATATTGTAGAATCTACGCGCAAGGATAATTATGCACATCATAAAATAATTTAAGCGTTTAAAGCTTCAGAATGCCGGAGTAATCAAAACAACATAATCATATTTGTATCCATAATTGCTCTTTAGGATTGTAATTAATTAGAAATGTTATTACACCACAGTATCTTGCTGTGAGGGACTATTTAGTGCACATGTTAAAACAATGTTTCAACAGCTATAACCTATTTCAGGATTCCCGATCTTTCCTTGCGTCAGAGGTAACATATTTTTTGCTAGCAGTATTAAAGCTTTATACTGACCTCACATTGGTTATATTGCAGTAGAACTGAGATATGTGATGTGCATTACAGTGCACGCAGGTGCTAGAAGTGATCATAAATTTTCACAGAATCGATAGCATGTTAGTCACACATTCAAGTTTTGTCATGAATGAACCTTTTAACAAGCAAACTTGCCTCTCATCACTTCAAAATTATTTTTCTTATAATTGATCTTCACTGTCAAATTATTTGTATAATAGGTTTGACAATTATTCAGAGGTAATGTTAAGGGTGTCCCTTGTCTTATGAACTAAATAAGGGGCGGTGGGGTAGCCTAGTGGTTAAAGCGTTGGCTCGTCACGACGAAGCCCTGGGTTCGATTCCCCACATGGGCACAATGTGTGAAGCCCATTTCTGGTGTCCCCCGCCGTGATGTTGCTGGAATATTGCTAAAAGCGGCGTAAAACTAAACTCAGGCAGTCAGTATGAACTAAATAAACTTTCTTTATCTTATATCTGAATTTTTTGCACTGGCTTGCCTGTCAAATGAAAAACTGTAAATATGTAATGTATTAACTAGACAAATCTGAAAGTTGCAATACAATCACTTAAAGAACTGCAGTATATGAATATATTGATGCCTTAACACTTGGCTTTGTTAATTTTGTAACTGTTACGACATACTTTTCTAAGAATGAAATTTAAAGTTTAAACATATAAGTTAAGCTTGAGTACACTATATAAATGTTATATTCACTAAGAAAGATACAATGTTGTTAAAACCAGTGTCACATTGCAGACATGCACGAGGTCCGTCTCGAGATATTCGCACAGGTAATGCAGCACGTGAGAGAGGCTAGCTCCTTTGGTTAGCCAGACATGAATCGTATAGCTTATACCTTGCATCTACTGCCAGCACAGAAACAGCATGTGTGACCGTACACCTCACAGCACAACAGTGTATCACATACTGAGACATGCCACATGTTGCTGCTGCAGTCAGTGGGTGCTGGGAAACTCTCTCATTGGCTGGGGAAGTTCTGAATACCCAACAAGATCTCTCATTGGCTGGGGAAGTTCTGAATACCCAACAAGCTCTCTCATTGGCTGGGGAAATTCTGAATACTTGTCAAGTTCTCTGATTGGCTGGGAAAGTTCTGAATAACTGACAAGCTGTCTGATTGGCTGGGGAAGCTCAGAATACCTGACAAAGTCTCTGATTGGCAGGGGAAGTTCTGAATACCTGACAAACTCACTGATTGGCTGGGGAAACTGAGAAGGGGGATTAGATTCTGATTTGGCGACAAGCTCTCTGAATGACTGGGGAACATTCTGATTGAGTAGGAAGATACTGATTGCAAATGTGTAGAGAAAATTGCAAAAGTACAGGGAAAATTCTGATCATTTATTGAAGATTACAACTGGTTGGGGAAAATTAAAAAATGATAATGGTCTCATCTACAATTTGTCTCTACACATGAATGTGATTTTAATATGATATTGAGGTATACCAGTAGGTAGAAAGTCTGATTACCAGCCCCACCACCACTCAGCACCAACATGATTGTCTCAGATATGTGTCAACACTGCAGCTGAGTTTCTGCATTGTATGAGGTCATGTACATCCTATACTCCATCGCAGTGCACAGGGACTCCACTGTGGAGGATGATTCCAATGAGGCATCAACTGGAAAACTGGGTTGTCATCACTTTTCTCAAATGGAATTTAGGTTCTAAATGAAACCTGGTTTTCCATTGGTTTCCCATTGAGCTTACCTAGAGCTGGTATTTAACTGCCTCCCTGTATTCAGCTAACCTGATTTGTATTTAGGTATGAGATGATGCGGACAGATGATGGATCGATACGAGGAACCATTAAGATGATCGAGAGTCTGAAGCTGCGTAACCTGCAGCAGCAGCAGCAGCAGCTTCAACAGCGTCATCATCGAGGTGATGGTGCGGTGCTTGCTTCATTAACTCTTCTTGTAACAGACGATGTAGTCAAAGCTGTGACAATACACACATTTCATCATAACTGAATTTGACATGAAATGGAGAAATACATTTTGCAAAATTATCTCGCCCTTTTTTGACCATATGTATTTGTGTGTCACAGCTTTGAATATGTTGTTGATAACAACTCTTGTATAACATATATAACTCCTATGTCCTGTCCTGCCTCTAACAGCCTCTAACAGCGTGGTTAGGCAGCTTGTATTTTATACTGACAATAACACTCCAGCATTTACTGGGATTCTCCAATAGCCAGCTATCACGTTTATTATTTCATTGCTTTGTTTTTGATTTTTTCACTGTTGTTGGTTTGTTTTAGTTCACTGTTGTTTTGAGCATCTTTGTTGATTATTTTCTATTCCCTCAGAAAAATTAATTATTGTTTGCATTAATGACACATATCATTGTTTTCTTTGTAACCATTGTCATGTCATAAGGCACAACAATCTCATTAAATCACATTGTCTACCGGGGTTCCAGCAGAATCTGAAAAACATTTCCAGAAAGGTCATGTCAAGTAAACCTTGTAACCAGTCAGTGTGGGACCTCTGAAGTCTTACTTGACTTCCATATATCAGAATAAATGTGAAGGGGCAATTCAAGATGGAGTATGGCAATGGCCAGGCCTTGTTCGGGATATTTTATTCCCTGTGATTTTCGTCAAAATTCCTTTTTTTCTCTTACTTCATTTCTCCTACATCAAACATTAGTAAAACTGCCTAGAAAATCAAAATACTTCGTCTTGTATGATCTCATCAGACCTTTTATCTCTTGAGTATATTCCCCTGGCTCTGTTTTCACTGATATTTTATCCCTCAATCTTCAAGGCATGATGCATGGATTGAAACTTTCAGCTTGTGTTACAAACTTGGATGGAGTGTTTGCATGTCTTCAGTTCACTCTTTGTACTGTGTGGAATTTTATCTTCAGTGTTTGTCAGTGTTTTTACCATGTGATTGCAAGTGCCTTGCATGTGATGTGGCATGGGATTGGAGAGTTTGTGTTCATCCTTTGAGTTTCAAGTCTCATGTAGATATATTGGCATCCTTTGAGTAGATAAACATTCACCCTTTGAGTGTCAAGTCACATGTAGATATTCCCCCTTTGAGTGTCAAACCACAGGTAGATGTTCACCCAACATGTTCAACTGTATGTTCAACTTCTGAAACTTCTAAAATTAGCATTTTTCTTTTAAAATTTTGGAAAATAGCAGTTGTGAATATTATGGACCCGACAACTTCATATTGCAGAAATTATTTTTCTTTAAGATTAGCTTCAAATAGCAGGAAGCTACTGATTTTGAAATAAGTTAGTTTCCACATTCCAAATTCCTGATTTAAACAAATTTATCTCTTAGCATAGATGAATTCCGACCAGGGAACAAACTGCACAACCAATACAATAAAAAATAAAACAGAAAAAAAATAGTTGGTTTTGTCCTAGTGAGTTGTGAATTTGAAAGTCCTGAAGTGAATGGTCTATTTTCTTTTACTTCAGTAGTAGATGTTAACATGATGTAAGATCAACATAATTCTTGTCGTTAGTGAATGACCGTAACATTGTCTTCTCTGTAATAGCGTCGTCTGATTGGACGTGGAAGGAACAGGCAGAGCTAATCAAGTGGACTCGGGTAAGACATAGACGACAATCTTTGATGATATGTGTTTGATATAATATATCCTATAATATTCCCCCAAAATAATTTGTTTATCTTAATTATTTTTTTAAACTCAAAACAAAGACATGATCAGAATAATGAATTTAATGTATCTGTGGACATGGTTGCTTTGAAATTTGTATTTCTTCCTACACAGTCCCCAATCCAGGCCTCCCTGCTCAAACTACAACCTTCAGAGCTGAACAAGTTGGCTCTCGAGTGCTTCATGTGTAAGTAACAGCCTCCCTTGTGTGAGACTTGTCAATAACAAAACATTCCTGGTTTTAAATAAGAAAACATGTCAAGGGATACAACTCTTTTCAAAGGAATCAAATGGGAGACAATTCCTTATATGAATATTTGTGATATTTTTCTATGAGATGTTGTTTGTCTTCTTGAAACCCCCTTTGTGTTCAGAGAAATGGAAAAACAGAGATTTGTGTTTAATGAAATCTGTATTTATAACAATGTGACATGTGATGTTTCAGCTATTATGATATTCATGGAAGACTACCCAAAACAGAGAAACGTGACTGACTATGACTGTGTGATGAAAATTCTCAAGGTAGGTGCATCATCATCCAGTAAAGGCATTTCCTGAAATAATAGCCTGTCTGTATTGAGGACAGCATGTAGACTGAAGACTCAACAGATTTAGTGAAACAACAGTTGATTCTGTCATAGTACCGTAGTTAATCTGCCATCTGCCATAATGTTGTATGAAAGGGTTGTGAACAACAATAGAACATGAGAGAATCAGATGTTCTTTACATGGAGTGACAGATTAGCTGTATTCATATAATATAGGGTAATGCATTCTCCAAAGGGATGTAAGTATATACATGTATTAACTTTCTGTCCTGCAACAGAGCTGTCACAAGTACCCCGAGCTACGGGATGAAGTCTTCTGTCAACTCTGTAAGCAGACCACCAGCAACAGGAGCATGAAACCGTGAGTAGCTTGTCCTTCGAATAATTCTGTCACATAGAACAACCATAATGCAGAGTTCTGTCATATTGCTGGCTAGTCAAATGTCTGTTCACATAAACTGATCAGTTCACCTGTCCTGTGCGATACCACCTCATGAAACTACTGCCAACATACGGGGGTGGTGGGGTAGCCAAGTGGTTAAAGCGTTCGCTTATCATGCCAAAGACCCAGGTTTGATTCCTGAGATGGGTACAATGTGTGAAGCCTGTTTCTGGTGTCCCCTGGCGTGATACTGCTGGAATATTGCTAAAAACAGTGTAAAACCAAACTCACTCACTCACTCCACCACAAAGATAAGGGTGAAGAACTGATGTTGTGGCATACCACTCGCTGCTACGTCACCAAGAACTTTTAGTGACATCTATGTATAGAGACAGCACCTAATTCATCATTATAAACGGTGTAAAGCTATTGGCACACAGGTCGTCCTGGATTTGCATAGCTCAACACATTCTGTGCCACCAGTGGTAAGTTGTTTGGGTGACATCCACAGAATGATGTTCTTTCTTGTTTTGCTACATTGAGCGAGTTTTTAATGGTAGATGTGGAAATGTGGCGTACTGTGATTTGTTTAAGATGTTGTAATGTATATGCCTTCCTTCCATGACACTACGCTCCTGTTTCAGTCGAAGTGCTTCCCGTGGATGGAGGTTGTTTGCTCTCATCGCAGCATTCAGTGACTGCTCAGAGATGTTGCGACCATATCTGTTTAAGTATCTGGAGACAACGGCCTCGGACACATCCCGCCACTACAGCAGTGAGTGCTTTCATGTATACTACACAACAATTGACAAGGAAATGATACATGACATTTTGTGAATAATGTGTTTGTACATAACATGAAGTATTAGTTTCCCTAGCAATAATTGGGGAGTATATGTTGATTCAGTTCGGGGAGGAATGACAGTTTTACTGGCATTTAGGAGTTGGATGTAATTTGGACAAGGGGTATTATTTGCAACAAATTCAGTAACCTGATGAAGAGGCAAAAGGTTGCGTTATCATGTTGCGTATGTATGATGAAATGTTTACCCATAATACTCCATTTCTTGATTTTGGATTGCCATTTAGTCTCTTAGTACTCTCATTTCACCTGAAGGAAGCGTAGATGGCAAGGCATTCTAAACAGACATGCCGACACTTAATGACTGAAGTGTATAATGCTCAGGTGTACCCTCCCATCCCAACATGTGCAACAGTGTAAATATTGCCACGAAAACAAATCCAGCAGACTATAAAAACAATCACACTTTAGGTTATTGAAAGTAGTACCTATAAGTTACATTAAGGTGCATGGTGTACTCTTCCTGTTTCATTCCAGCAAATTTCCTAGTCTTGATTAATTTGTTAGCAGTGATATGAATGGTGTCTGATCACCGTCCCTGTCCCTGATGTGTGGATGTTTCTGTTGTAGATGCTGCTGCCCTCTGTCTGCAGAACCTCCGGAAGACGTTCAAGTTTGGCGGCCGGAAGAACACACCCCTGAAAGAGGAGGTGCAAGCTCTGGCGGTGAGTCGGTCTATCTTCATACAATACATTCAGGACATCCGAGCAGATGCCTAATATATTTACCTGTTACATGTTGTTGGGGCACAAGTTCCCAGTTGTCAAACAGGCAGCAATTCACTCACTGAGTTATAGACCCTAGTTGATAATGGATCCGCTGATAATGGTTTGAATTCCAGATTTCCCCCAGAGTATGATTTCTTGTTCTCTCAGAATGTGTATACCTGTGCTTTAAGATTTCTACTTTTCTACAACGGTTGTCACTGAAGTTCTCACTCCTGCTGTTGTAGGATGGAAGAAACTCCAAACGCTTCCCGTTCATCTACAGTGGGTCGGACACCCAGGGTGGCATGCTACAGGTCAAATCCTGCACAGTAAGTTCAAGTTTGGTTCCATCAGTACAAATGTTGGCAAGACTCTGCAAGACCACTACTAGCCATGTGTATGAATGTTAACAAATTATATATAATGTTATGAAATTTCCTTTCCAATTTAGTTTGAAATGTTGATCATGTATTGGGGCTATTACCATTATCAGATCGTGCTTGATGCCATTGATATCATCTGTCGAGACCTCAACATCTTTGAACCCATCGAGATGGAAGAGTACACCCTCTTCATGAGAACACGTAAGTCTACCTGCAGTCAAGATGTCAAGTGTCTGTGATCTAAGGAATGAAGACAATCCTCAGGCAGAATATGTGATAACAATAAGTATCAAACATCAGTGCTGGAGAAAACCAAGTCTTAGTTATCCACCAGACCAGATTCCACTGGATGTAAGAGTAAAAATATCAGTGGAATTAAATGAATGTAGCTAGGTGTTACCCAAACGGTCCTGTTATCATCCCTGCAGCATCCACAACTCACTCAGTTTGCAAGGAGAAGAGAAAACCCAAATTGTTTAGCTTATGGTATATTATGGTATATCAACTATACAGGCCCCAGTCTCACATTATCTGGCCACACAGAACATTCATTGTAATTTGTGTTTACAGGAGATGGGAAGTTCAACAAGCTGAGTCGGGAGGAGTACATCCTGGATGTGACAGCCCAGTTTGCCCGTGAGAAGAATGAGTTTGACCTGATCTTCCAGCGCACTGTGTGGTTCTTCCCGCTCACCCACCTGGACAACGAGATCTACATGGACATGATGTTCAACCAGGTACGTGTCTCATGTAATGTGGCGTCAGTGTCATGCTGGACTGCTGTGAAACAGATCACCTGGATAAACGGAAAGGAAGCTCAGCTAAGTCATAAAATAACAAAAGGTCTGCCCAAGTAACCATCCCAAACATAACGTCCATGGGAGCTAGCTGGGGAGAAGTGGTGACGTACATTCAACCATCTCTGTGTTTACTGTAAACAATAATTCCCTTGACATTTTGTGTATTAACACAAGTCTGTCTGACGCCATGTCTGTCTGTGTGTCTTCCACAGTGCATCCTGGACTATCTTGATGGGCTGCTCATCAACAGGAACTCCCTCGGCAAGGAGGACCTGGTATGTAGACAGTGTGAACCAAGTCTTTCTCTTCATTATTGTTGACTACTAATCATGTTAAATATATGCTGCATGGTATTTTTGGAAGTAATACAGCTTTGGAGTTTTTGCATATTCTAACCAAAGATGACAGCAGTGTTATTAACTGGGAGTGGTAGTGGTAACAATCACATGTACTTTGAAGTGTTAATCTGTGAATGTTCACACTTGCTCTCTCCAGGATCAACTTGCCCGGATGGGATCCCTCCTGTACAAGGCACAGAATCAAGTCAAAATACCAACCATGTGAGTAAAACCTACTCTCTAGTCCCATACCCTCATTCACACATGGCAGTCTAAACAAACTACATAGCATACTTCTGTATTTTATGAATCTGTAGAGGAACATTCTACTGTACTGAATCTCTATACATCCTGATGCTGATGCTCCTTGAGAAATCATCAGAGTAATAACACATTTTCCATTCCTTTGGTAGATGGACATTTCAAACTGACATTGTCTGGAAGGCAGGGTTTCTGGATTAAGGGGTGGTTATACCTGTGTATCATGTCTGTGTATCATGTGTGTTTACAGGAAGGACATCGACATGATGATCCCCAAGACAGTGAAGTCCCACCCCGAGATGCGACCCCAGCAGTGGCTGAACCGTGTGACTGACTACATGCGGGGCATTGCCCAGATGTCACCAGCAGGCTGCAGGCTTACATTCTTAGGTCAGTCACAGTTGCCAGGGAGATAGTGACAGAAGCAAGCATGTATGGTTGCCTAGTTACAGTCTAGATGCCCATTCCTCCAGGTTGTGGGTTCAGAGTCCATCATACCGGTACTTGTAATCCTCTCTGCACAACACTTAGAGCTACACCAAGTCATTATCATGGTCTCCTGGATGTGTTGCTTGGTCCAGCATTATGCTGACCACTGGGAGATTACTGCAGTACTGTTAGGTGTTGTACCACCAACCTCACTCATCAATAAACACTAGAGCTGTTGAGTATTTCCTATATGTGGTTCATACTTTTGTATGCTTGTGCAATAGTTAATGACTTATGTGTTGAGCAAATACTTTGTATTGGTTTTACTTGCTAAATCTATGATGTTGATCATTTGTTTTTCAGAAATGCTCTCAAGATGGCCACTGTTTGGCTCCACTTTCTTCCTCATAAAGGTCAGTTTCTTCATCAACAACACCAATATTTTATATGTGACAATATATGTTGATGCATAATTAGTATAAGCATCATGTTAACATTTCATATGTATCTTACCATGTTAGAGATAGAAGAGACATTTTGTTCACCAGTTATTAGAATGTAAACTTTGCTTTCTATGTCAGAGTGTACCAAACGTGGCGGGAGAGTGCATGTTGGCTGTAAACAAGGTCGGCATCCAGTTCCTCAAGAGAGACTCACAGGTAATTATGCAACCATCACAATGATTACAACTGAATTTACTGGTCTCGAAATCAAATTGACATATGTATCTTCTGATTTTACATTAGCTAGCTTATGATATGCTATTCCGATGAAATGTACACTGCCCTGGTCTGAGACAGAAACAAACCGTTACCAGTCACAGCTATTTTTGGAACTAATGTAAAGGCTAGGAAGACCTTTGGCCAATGTCCAAGGAGTTGGTTGGTTTTTTAATTAATCAGTTGAACATAATCAGTGGTGCAGTAAGTGCAACATGGCTGGAAACTGCTATGCTCTACCTGCAGTGATGTGAACTAGTTGTCTCTGTGAGACTTTAATCAGTTTAGTGTTTAATGTGTGGAATTTGTTCCCAGGATGTGATACTGAACCATCCGTTCAGCGAGATCCTGTCAACACGACGGTACCGCAGCGACTACAATGTCAACTATCTGGACATGAAACTTGGTAATCTCATGGTGCAGAAGATCCTCCGCATTGAAACAGATCAGGTAAGCAGATGATGTGATAGCTCTTTGATTAAAACCCTGATAAACAAATAGGACTGAGAGATGGTTGTAGATGTGAGATTAATAAAAATCATTGTGTTTCTCTGGAATGGTGTGATGAGTAAGATGTATAAAGACTGCTATTTCAATAAAGGACTCAAGAGAAAGAACATGCTGGTGTGTCGACTTACCAAATATACTGCCACATGAATGTTGAAAGTTTATTATGTCAAAATTTCTTCCTATTCTAGGGTTCTGACATCTCAAACCTGATTGGTCAGTACATGCAAGTCATCAACCGATATCGCAAGCGGCCAGACCGTCCAAGTAATGGTGTCTATAACTGAGCACGTTAGCCAATCATATCACTTGTACATAGTCATGTGACAGAGCTCCAGAACATCATGGGATCCTCACGCCATCACAAATAGAGCAAGAATCTTCCATTGTACAGGTGGCAATATAACTACTCCATGAGATACATGCCTATATTACCTGTTGTGTAGAACTGTAGTCGTATTGTATAAGGTTCTGTCATGGAGATAGTTCCTCTAGCCTGATGAACCTACAGATGCCAAGATTCCCTCAACTTCATCATTCCAAGAAGCTAAGAGAAGTGTGTTTCAAACGGCCATGTTATTACAGTGCATATTGGTGGTGGGATTCGCATAGTGAGGTGCTACCATAGTGACACTACACTGTGATCTGCCCTGTAGTGGAGAAATATAACGAGGTCTCAAAAACACTATGGACACAGCCTTATAGCGATGCATCAAAGTAGTGCCATGGACAAAGTGTTGTAGATCATTAGTGTACACTCACTTCACTCATGCAGTTGTGTCGACAAGCACAGAGGCTGATGCCTTGTGATCAAAAGCTCTGTTTCAGGAAGTTTGACAAGAAGGACATGAAACCTGTGATTTGTTGATTGTTTCAACAACAGATGATATTAGCCAACCGGAATATGTTGGATAAGTTAAGGCACTAACGTCGTTGTGATACCTTGGTGAGCAGAAAGATTGCTCACCAGATGAGTGGTTACCCTGGAGACCGCCAGCTTGAAAGTGATTTGTATGTGTAGCTTTAACCATGTACATATTTATTTACAAACTGACCAAAACAAACATTTGTAGATTGATTTCTTCAAAACTAAGACACTTCTTGTCTGAAAGTTAATCAAAAAAGTCAAATGTATATAGTTTTCCTTTTTGCAGGTATTACAAAACAAAATCTGTATCATAGGTTGTTAGACCAGTAGAATCTGAGGGAGGCAGCCATTTTATTGAAGGATGATGCTATCGGACAGTATAATTCTATGCAATTAGTTAGTATTTGCTTCAGCTTTCATGTCTGGTACAGGCGTAAAGTATTCTGATATATTTGACTGTCGTTGTCCTTGTGCTAACTAAAGCTGTAATACTTATAAGCTTTGCCAGAGCAGACGTATAGTCATCTGGTCTGTTGTATCACAGACCGTACACCCATCTAGAGATCAGTATTTCATTTTAGCATAATATCACTTTATGGTTGTATATAGAAAGAATTGTCTTCAACATCCTGTAAGAATACTAGAGAAAAGGTACCATCATAAGTATTGCTTGTTGAGAAACTGGGTCTCACTTTGTCAAATTCCTATTTCTATGGATTTTTGCAGCAGAATATATCAAACTCTTATTTCAGGTTCTGTCATTGTACAAAGTTTCTCAGGAGAAGGACGTCAGTCATCTTACAGGATGTGTGTATATAGTCATTATTTTAGAATTTCCATTACCATTTGTTGTCATGCTGTGAACACACACCGATGTGACATGTCTAGACAAGGGAAACTGTACATTTTAACATCAAATATACTTCCGATCAAGATACAATTATTTTATCTGTATTTGGAAGGCATGGAAGATCAATTAACATAAGCACATGTATACGTCAACTGTGTAGCAGCATGTATATCAAATGTATTATGTATTGTATATAGTCAGAGACCCCTTCCCTCCAAGGAGAGAATATATTTATATTACCAACAAGCTTTCCAATGAGAGGATATTCATACTGCTGTCTGTCAAACTACAGAATTTTAACATGCAGTTTCAAAATTTATATTTGCATGTCATAGGGTTTTAAAAATGCAGGAGTAATTGTTTGTGAGCACCAAGTGCACTTACATAGCCCCCAAGACCCCACTTTTTAATGTCCATATAGTCTAGGCGTCTGTAGTTGTTTAAACAATCTACACACAGGTAGCATGTTGTCAAAACTCATGGTCAGTTGTCTTCATGACAAAAATCTTGTAATAAAACACTTGCAGTTTTTATAAATCATACAGCACTCTATTACATGTCTGTACGTATTATAAACAATGGACTGTCCAGTTGTTCGTTCATTGTGAAGATGAAGATGACCATCAGTTTGAGGCAACAGCTACTCCAGGAATTCATCCCGTCTTCCACGAACTCACCACTAAATGATGATCTGCTGTTTTACATGTTTTTATGTTGTCTGTTACGGTGTTACTGACTCTAATATTGTTGGGTTTGTTATTTACATATATTACAGACAGATAGTTTTCTGTTGAAATCAAGATTCATATTTGCAATGATATATTTCTACCTTACATAGCCAATTCATAACTTACATGTTTGTCATTTAATAAACACAATACTTAATCTTCAGTATCTGCACTCAGTGGATTTATTCTGTTTGCGATCATTTTATAAAATATCTGTTTACAAAGGTTACGGATATGGCTTATATTCTTTTATATCCCATCTGCTTACTGCTGATAGTTGCTTGTATCTACCCTGCTGATTGTACTGCCCTTGTATATAGCTTATACTCACTGGACTGATGTCACCAAGCTGTCTTGTTATGCAAAGTAGCCCTTATACACCACCAATACTTACATATTACCCTCTACATAAGATGAGAATATCATGTTACTGTTGGCATATTCTTATCGTTATTTCGTTCTCCATTTCAATGATGAGAGAAACATTTATTTCAAGTGGAGTAATTTTCTCCCTGCTTCTATTTTCGTTCATAACATTTGTATATCATATATTTGGTTCAACCAGTGATCACTGTTCTATGCAAATATCTTCATATATGACAGTACTTTCCTACTACTGTTTATTATTACACAGTTAGTCAAGAGAGTGCTTCAATATTCTGCCTATTGTTAGTTTGGAGGAAATGGCAGAAATGCCGTAATTCTGTTCAATGTATAATTTATAGTGTTTACACTGTTCATGAAGAAAACAAAATGTCAACAAAACTAGGGCACAAAAGTGGTGCAGAAAGTAGTTTTGTTCCAGTTATAGTTTATGGGATCACAACAGTAGCCTTGCATGTAATGATCAACATCTGCTATTCAGATACCCAAACACATAACTGATTGAAACAAAGAATAGTTGTGAGGTGGCTAGCATACATTTGTCTCCATATACACTGACCCTACATTTATGTGCAATCTTATGCCTGTAACTCTGTGTTGAAATATACATATTATAACCTATGTTAAAACAAATATAGGACATCATTATATATTTTTGTAAGGTATGAATAAAATTTTGTATTACATTATATATCTTCTGTGCTTTTTATGAAAGAATGTTATTGGTTTAACACCACTCTCCACAGTAATTTACCTAATGTGGGGGAAAGCTGTAAGTTATGGGTGTTTCATGGACATTTACCTGACATGATGGATCATAAGCTGACAAAGATGAGACTTGAACCCATACCTTCCAGAAATTCAATTCTGCTCTTCCAATTGCAGCACCTAAAACTTCTGGGACATCTGAAAGTCAAGTATTTCACAGGTTCAAATCCTAGTATTTGTTGATAAAATGGCTTTCCCAGTTGTTGGAACGTCCAGGCAGCTCATGCCTTCACGAATCTTACTGATTTAAAATATAACAAAATGACATATACTGATTGTGGTATCTCCTCGCCAGAGTTCAGCAAGTCTTACTGTCTTCAGTCTACAATGACTACGCCTTCTGTAGGTCATTTATAAATATTTGGTCTTTATCTGAAAACGTAATATCTTTAAAACCGGTTCCTTTGTATTCCATATGTGCTTTAGTATTTACAATTCAGTAATTCTATGTCTGTTTCGGGACTACAAATTGCAACTCTCCGGTGGAGGCAGACCCAGATAACGCACCCAGGAAGAAAGGACTTGTACATCGTGTAGCTTTATGGCGCTTGTTTATGAACTGTTTTCCATCTTCTGACATGAACCCTTTACACACATGAGATTTAATATAATATACCACCTCAAACCTAGCCTGTAACCAGTCTCGATTATCCAGTCAAACATACTCCATCCAGCGTGAAAGGCGTCATAGCTGCGAAAACTAAATCAATGGATTACTGAAAACAATGGTGACACCAGGTGTTTTCGAAAAGGGTAAGCCCTGTTCTGCCCTACCGGTGGCACCCGCCTCGTGTAAGCTATGTATGGTGGTCTAATATGTACAAGTTATGCTTTCTGCGCGAACAATTGGAAGAATATAGAGCACAGTCCAAATACTATTAACACAAAAGCGGCATAGTCGTTTTTCAAAAGCATATGACATTTCTTCTGAAAGGCCTTGAATGTTGTAACCCAGAAAAAAATAAGAGTGAGAGTCGCATGACCTTCCAAACTCCCTTAAAAGTGCATGGTCGTATGAAAAGCTAAAGCAACATTGCTCTACGTAAATGAGAATAAGGACTTGGAAAGTTGGAAGACATCCCTCTTGTAACCCACTCTTATGGTAGATCATGTCGCTCTGAATCTAAATATGAAACAGATGAGGCAGTTTCTCTGGTCTGTATTATTTTCAGTTCATCTGTCTCATTTAGGAAGTCCGATCATTGAACTGTAATGGTTTTAGCCAATTTCCTATTTCGTAACTTCATATTTGAAAATGTGGCATCCTTCTATCTCTTGCCATTTTGAATCTTATGTAAATTTAATTCATGGTCTTGTACACGTCTTGTACAACTGTGGACGTTTATGGAGATATACAGATTTTCCTTTCAAATTTGGAAATTATTATTATAGGATATTCATATAGCGCACATATCCTCGCAACTACTACATGCTCAAGGCGCTGGTATTTTTTCCCTCGATCATTGGATGTCAGTCTCAACGGCAAATCGTATTATCAATCTGAACTCCCCGGGGATCATACAACTCTTGCAGCCACTAGGCGCACCGTGTTATTGCGGCATTCTCATCCTTACAGGTACCCATTTACAGCTGGGTGGACTGGGACACATAGTCACAGTACTTTGTCCAAGTTCACTGCACGTTGCTGTACCCGCAACTAGGTGTTTGCACGTATTCATGTAGCCACCATCGGGTCATATACCAGGGGGATTCGTGGGTTCTTTAAGTGCACAGGGTTGTGTATTGTACACTAGGGGTTGTGACAACACTGAAAGAGTCTGCACAGAGAGTTGACTCCAAGGACAGAGATCAAGTTGACTCCAAGGTTTTTAGACCCGGTCACAGGTGGGCTCGATCCGTTAGCCAGCTCGCCCACCACGCCACCCAAATGTCCAATATAGGTAAAGAAAAGACATTTTTTACAAATAATAGTGTGAGTTGAGTGTAAGTGCGAATATATGCATCAAGTACACACAATTTCTGGATAACATCTTCAACGTGCAATTTTTAGCGGCGTTTAATATAGACGCTTTTACCGCTGTCAAATAACTTTACAAACTACACAAAGGCAGTTTTATATCCTGTAGACACCCAAAAAAAACAATCGGTTTCATTTCGCAGCTATGCACATCAACAGACTACCCACCGGCGAGACATCCGACACCATAGGGGTTTGTGATGATGATTATTTGGAGATTTTACGTGCGCTTTCCGATATAATGCGTATTTCGCACACGGGTCCGCCAGGCCATTTAGTGTGCGGCCGAAAGGGGTTATTATGACCGAAAGAGAGGGCAACGTGAACATGGTGAAGGGGGCATTCGGGTTGAGTATTTAATTTTCGTATGAATTTTGAATTTCGAACTTTGCCAGAAGTTGTGTTTGGGAGGGAGCGGAATTACGGAGTGGTTTGTTTGGTATTGTTGTCTTCTTTCTATTCTGTTTCTTTAGGTTATGTAGGCTAGTCTCAGACTGGGACTGGTGAGGTGTCAACATTTAGTGCTACAGCTTTTATGCCGAGTTATGGCAATCAAGCGAGTAATCAATTCTTTTATTTTTATCTCTCACATTTGTAATCTCGGCATTTACCCTCACAGTTCTAAAGAACAGGTATTATCTTAACAACTATAACCATGAGATATTGTCTACATGTTTGTAAACAAGAGATCTATTATCTACTTATTATAAAAGAGAGATATATTATACAGATTCATAAACAAATGGTGTATGTCCTGACATCTATAGGCCAGAGATAGTATTTTTACATTTATAAACAACAATAAGGTTCCCGACAGGAAACATTCAAGTGTTTTCTTACATTTTCATGAGGTCAAGAAATACAGAATTGTTGTTTTGTTCTGGGCTTGTTTTGGGGTTTTTTTGTTGCGTTTTGGATTGTGGTTTTGTTTTGTTTTTGTTCGTTTGGGGTTGGGGGTGCAGCCAAAACTGACAAACGCCAGTGATCACAATTCTCATCATGTTATATAGGTAGACCGTAGGTGGGACAGTATAAACAATATATTCACCTTGATGCTAACAAATTAGTGTTATATAACAACGTATGGTTTGGATTTACAATTTCTTTATTGTTTTCAACACGGCTTTTCTTGTTCTCTTCTTGCCCCTTCATCAGGTGAATGATTGAATGGTGTTGTCATGTGCTTTATTTAACGTCGCACGCACAACTAAGGTATATCGGCCACGGGTAAGTACACTTATGAAGAAATGAGGGGGAGCAATGAATGTGATTTACAAGTGCGTACAGGAGGCCAGGAAGTTAGTTTGCTACTTAACAACCAATCAGGCAATCGACACTTGGCACCAAAGGACCTGCTCCAGTTCGGTTACCGCGAGCTGTTACCCAGCCATTCAGACAATGACGCTCAGTGTAACTGTAACAACATTTTAAATAGCTGACGTCACGCCAATCAAGCAGTCTCCTGTGCGGCGCTGTGAATGACGCAGTACTACGAGAATTGAGTTTCAGTGGCAGGATTAGACGTAATAATCCCTGTTAATCCATGTCATTCTCATCTGTGGGAGAACTGAGCTAACTGGCACTACTCTTCCGGACTACTCCATGCCTCAGTGTCATGCAGGCAGGTATATAGAAGCAGAATGTCTGGTCGGTGCAATGTACGTCCACCTCCATCGTCGTTTCAAGTTGTACGTTCATTCTGCCATTTAACTAAGAAACCATGTCAACACCCGCCTGTGCTGACCCGATCTGCTCCCTGTCTGCCACTAACGTGGCGTCTGCTACTGCCTTATGGAAGGACGACCCAGTGTCTGCATCCTTCCAACTCTTCAGTCTTATCGAAATGAAGGATAGATTCCTCAAGCAAGTCCAGGCCATAGGTATGTACATTTGTTTTTGTGAGTTTGTCATTAACGGGATATAATTACGTGATTTTTCTCATTCACTATTACATCATATTCTGCAAAATTGGTTTTATAAGTCATTATTTTATTCGTTACTGCACAATCCGTCAAAATATATATAAATTGGCAGACTAAAACACTAAAAAGCATCTGTTTTTTATTTCAGATGCCTACATCCTGGAACTGTCCGAGAAGATCGTGAGAGATGCAGACAATGGCGGCCATGTTGGACATGGGTTACTTCTGCTCAACAGGAAGTGTGTAGCTGAAGGTGTCCGTCAGGTGTACCTACGACTGGCCACACACAAGTGGAGACAAGTCAGGCAGTGCAACAACTTCATCAGACAAAACTACGAGAACCAGGACCATCTTTCAGCAGCTGATGTGGATGAGTCACATGACCACGAAGTCACCCAGATTGCTCGTGGACTTAGTATGGAGTGTTGTGAGTTCCAGCGGTCATGCTAATTGGATGAAACAATTCACAAACTGTCATTATTGTGTAGATCCTGTCTCCACTGACGACATCTTGCTTATTGTTGTTATTGTTAAATATAAAGTGCTGTCATGACTACATGTATTCTGTGAATGGGAGTTCTATATGTGAAAATAAAATTGTCATTCTCAGTCTTGTGTTAAGGTTACAGAACAACTGCGTTTCATCTCCAAAATAAATACCTCATGGGAAATGTATTAAGCGTTGAAATTAATTTCAATCAGATGAGTCATCTTCCCGAGCCAAGCCTATTTCTTCCTCGACTATTCGCTAAAAATATATGCGGGGATATAGGACTATTAGTAAACGTTGTACAAAATCAATCAATTATGGTTCCTTAAATTTAAACAAATATTTTCGAAGTTCAATCAACTCGCTCACTTACTTTATAGAATGATTTGGTTATATTCTGATTCCTGATTGAGCGTTTCCAAAGAAAAGTAATCTGAAATATCATGGTTGAAAACTAGACTACGATATAGTCTTGTGTACACTATTGGCTTTGGAAACTCAAGACCAGCTGACATCATTGGGCCATACGGGAGTTGTGTATTCTACCTTTATAGCAGTGTATGGTAGAAACATGCATATAGCAACGCTACCTACCATGCTTCGTATTTCGGCTAGCTCAAATATCCAGCTGTATGTTTAAAACGCCCGGGGTAATCTTCCTGTCAACACAGCAATTTAAAACATTATTTTGACATGTGTCATTTTCTGGATTACACCAGTAACACTATTCCGGTGTAAGGAGAAACAGATCAACAGCAGATGTGAACAGATACTACCCATTGGCGAAGCATACTACTGGTATAAATGTTATATAACCTAAAGTGTCAGATCTTGTCAAATCCAGCAACTCACATATCAGGGCATTTAAATGTGTCTGAGTTACTATAAGTTATAAATTCTTTGTCCACCACCACCCTGTACTAGCACGTACTGCGACATTTATACTTAGCGTGGCCGTTGTGAGGATTGATTTACGCTCTTCAAGATAGTCAGTTAGTTCAGATAAACAAACTCTGACTGGATCCCAACGCCTAAAATATGCTCTTGGTCCCTCCTTAAGTCACGTGATAGTGAAGGGATAACTCAAACTTAAAGGTCACACATAAACCCTAGGGGTACAAATACATAAATCACTAACTGGCATCGTTATAAATGAAACCCCGTCATTGAAACTACTCATTTCGACCTTTAATTGGCTTAAATCGACCTTTTTGACAACAGTGCACAATTCTCACCCGCGAACAGAAATTTCAACCAATCAGAGCGGCGCGCCTCTGTGACGTCATATGAGGAATAGCTTTGAAAGCCGATGCAGAATTCATCTACATTTTAGGGGGTAAATTATCGTGTTTACAGGCTTGTATAAACCTGAAATCGTGACAATTGTTGTTGAAAATGAAAGCTATATGTTCTCACAATCTACTGGCATTTAATTTTGTCTCCTGCTTTGCCTAGTTTCCGAGTTACAACTTGTTTTCATAGACGCTTCTGTCACAATTGATTGGTGTCGTTAAGCCCTATTTGTATAATGACTGATCCAAATTGATCCCATTTCTGTGTTTTTACCTCGATGTTTAATCATGTCATGTAAAAAATCTGTTTGTATTCTCAAAACAGTGTCGGCCCATAAGTTTTCACATACAATACAGCAATTAATACTCCTTGTTGTAACCCGTGTTAGGTGGTATAAACCTACGCGTTATTTGTCATCATTCACTTGATGGTCAGTAAATGAATTTATAACAGGTATAATTAGTGGTAATAATACACTTAGATTACCCGACAAAGGTTCCCATTTGGCATTTCTTGTGTCTGGAGTAAATATTCAACATTATAAACATCGATCAAAGGATTAACCGATAACACGCTGATTGATTAATTACTTTTATCTTACACAGCGGAATTGTCAAAGGTAGTGTTTATGTATGTAGATTTACTAATCTATACTGAATACACTCTGCCGTGTCGGTGTCTGCGTAAAACAAGGTCCTTCTTTCAAAGGATTAACCGGCAATACATTGATTGATTGCCCATTATTGGCTTACTAAATTACTGTTTTTAATGAAAGGCGGACATTATGCAATTAGTTGCCAGGTGTGCTATCTTGGGTGACCAATGAGACTATACACCAATACCTGAAAAAGATTTATCACTTTTTCGTATATTAAACTGTTAAAAGACACATCATTTGGAATAGTTTTGTGGATATTGATAAACAAGGTAATGGCCTGATATTGTTCCTATAACTTTAATCTGTTTTAATTTTAATATTTGCATTTTGTTTTTATTCATTTGTCGTAGCATTCAACAGAATCATTGTTTTCGCCGTGAAGTGTAATAGGACAGACAACATACACTAGAGTGTGTGTGTGCGAATTATGATTCACATTGACAAACTATAAAATGTCTAGATATTACAGTTCTGTTATAAATTCACTATAAGTATCAGCAGATCGTCAGCTTTTTATTTAGTTTCAAAATGCATAAAAGTATGATAATAAACTAATTAGGTTTATAAGACCAAATATAAAGACGCATATTGACTAGTATCTACATACTGGTGAGTGGACATTAACCATGGGAATGTAGCAAGAAATTTATCGCGCAGTATTGTGACTTCGACCCCCACCTCGCTTCCGTGGAAGAAATCGTTATGTTATAAGTTGTGTCATGCAAAATCCGTTTGGTTATGATTCCAATACATATTTAACAACGAGTAGAAAGTAGTCTTGATTTTTAACTTGATGAAAACAAACTATAATCTCATTAATTCTAACAGATTTTTTATTTTTAAAATGGCGGCGCCCTGTCGGGAACATCAGCCAGTCTGGAGGATAAATGCTATTTAGGTTTGTTTTCACCGAGTTACAAAATCAAAACTACTTTCTACTGGTAGTAAAATATGTATTTTATTGATGGCCAATAGGATTTTGCATGACATAGCGTATATCATAACAATTTCTCTCGTGGCAGCGAGGTGGGTGTCAATATAATACTACTTACAATATTATTGTTACTTCGACCACAACCTCACTTCCGAGGAAGAAATCGTTATGTTACAAGTTGTGTCATAGAAAATCTTTATGGTCATCAATCATATGCATATTTTACTACAACTAGTAAGTAGTTTTGATTCTTTAACTTCCGTGAAGCGATCTGAACACAAGTAAGATATCGTTTCAGGCTTCCACAACGCTCGCTTCGCACTCACAAAACATAACCCATTTAGCACGAACTGCGGGGTCCTGTGGAAATCTGTGCATGGGGACACCATCGCCCGACCCCTAGGAGCAATTGACGACAAAGCAACGATTCGGCATGTCGTCGTTGATGTCGAGAAATCATCAAAATGATGAGCGTGCTACACATTTTCTATACAACTAACTGAAAATCGTTCCTCATATGACGTCACTGCAGTGCTCTGGCGACAGAGTTACGTAACCTGTCTGTGGTTTCGTATGCGGGCGAGAGGAAGCAGGCGACTTTTGGCCACTTTTAATCGCTCGGTATTAATTAACCACAAGTTTTTAAAGAATAAATTTGGTGTTCCGCATAAGACTAACCACAAATCTTTCATATGTAATGGTTAAAGAGTAACAAAAACAAAGTTTAGTGGTTCTTTAAGTTCAATGGCTATTTTAACTGATGTATCAGTTGTATTATGATTTTTACTCTATGAAGATAACACTATTTGTTTGGTTTGCAACAAAGATCCTGTAGAAATGCAAAAGAATTTAGATAATTTTAAAAAATAGTTAGGTGTGGAAACTGAAAGGAAATGTTTAGGAAATAGACTACATGTATATTACAATTAGAGGAAACAAAACTATGAAATATACCATTAGAACTTAATGGAACAAATTTGGAAAGTGTGAATAAATCGGGCAATTGTCTCCCATAGATAAAATAAATTCAACACAGGAAGGAAAACCGTTATGCAACAAGCAACAAAAACTGTGTATTATATCCTCTAAATGGAAGATCAAATAGCCTATCAATACAGTGTCATCTTAAACCTTTTGATGCATGAGGATCCTAATGATATTATACAGGCGTGAGGTGTGGGCTTCTGGGGACTAACGAAGTATTGAGAATGTACATTTAGACTTTTTTCGTAAACGTCTTCCACTGAAAAGAGTGCGTCTGCCTAATGATATATGGCGAGCTTGGAAGAACACCTCTGTACCTACAAGCGTACACACGTAACGTACTCGGCAGGAATGGTATCAGGAAAGACATCTAAACATTTAAACTTGCAGTATCTTTGAAGATCATTTCCTGTCACAAAACATGAATGAGTGGATTTGTTCATTAAGGAACCGGTCTTACGTACATTTGGCAGTCTAAACATTTTAATTCTGTTCATATTTTGCAGAAAATAGTGATTGAAAGACTTATGACTCGAGACTTGTATTATAGAAAACTCCCTAGAAGATAGTGGTGTCCACTTATTCAATTTCAGACATTATGTCACAGACTACCAGTTCAACTAGGCAGACGGAATAATGTCCACATAATGGAACGAACCTCTAACCTGTGTCAGAATAACCGCGTTGGTGGTGAATACCATCCACCTTTAGCGAATATAAAAACAACAAACTTTTAGTTTCACGAAATCGTGTTACAACTTGGTACTCTGTTTAAAAGAACAAATCTGTACTTAAGAAGTTAAGTAAAGTTTGTTCTCTACTAATCTTAAGCTACAAGTCTTCAATGTAAGCAAATAATTTCCAATTCGTATTTACCTCAGAGAATGATAAAACTATATCCGTGCAGTAAGACTCCGTTACACCTCACCTCAATACTTATGATTCTATTCTAGCGGAGATCATTTGGCGTGTTGTATATTGGAAATGTACTTTTCTTTGTTTGAATGTCACATGTATGTTCTCTGCCAGGGCCTTTAAAACTGGAGTTTGAGGATGATATCCTACGGGAGACTACCTGGCTTATACATTAAAAGAGCATTAAGAGAGTCTTGAGTGTGGCTGTACCAAGGACAAGCGGTTCTGGGTACAGATATGGCTCAGTTGAAAAGATTCCCAGTACATAGATGTTTATTTACAATATCACGCATTGGTAGACTTGGCCATCACGTGTAATTTTGAATATTTACAAATAGCACTAGATGTCCATCAGTGTCCATCAGACATATATCTTCAACGTCAAGTTTCATGAGAGTCTCCCATAAAGCTAGCATGATCGCTGGAACGCACAACACTCCATACTAAGTCCTCGAGCAATCTTCGTCACCTCGTGGACATGTGACTCATCCACATCAGATGCTGAAAGATAGTCCTGGTTCTCGTAGTTTTGTCTGATGAAGTTGTAGCACTGCCTGACTTGTCTCCTCTTGTTTGTGGCCAGTCGTAGGTACACCTGACGGACACCTTCAGCTGCACACTTCCTGTTGAGCAGAAGTAACCCATGTCCAATATGGCCGCCATTGTCTGCATCTCTCACGATCTTCTCGGACAGTTCCAGTATGTAGGTATCTGAAATGAAACAGGAGAATATAAGTACTTGTACTGGTACATCAAAATAATACCCCACACTATACTACAACTTAATACAGTGATTCATATACATGGGCAATATTTTAGAAGGAATTACTTCGCGCTCACGAAATATAGACGTTATTGGCCATAAAATGTGTCAATATTATACTCGCAACTTCTAAAATGCCACTCAAAGATATTGTATGACGAAATTTAACCGGACAATTTGATTCAGAAAGAATTACCCCAGAATAAAACATGTACATACCTATTACCCGGACTTGTTCCAGGAATCTATCCCGCATTTCAATCAGACTGAAGAGTTGGAAGGATGCAGACAGAGGGTCTTCCTTCACCTGGACAGAAGATGGCGGCAGTTTAGTGGCAGCCGGTGAACAGATCTGGTCAGCACTGGTGGAGGTTGCCATGGTTTCAAGTTAATTGCAATGATGTGTTTAAAAGAAGCACGGAGGACTGTTAGATATCCTTAGATGCGATATGAGTGGTGTCCATCAGACATTCTGCTTCTTTATACCTGCCTGTATGACACTGAGGCATGGAGTAGTCTGTGGGAGGAGAGGCAAGCTGTGTTATCCCATAGATGAGATTGGCAAGGATTATCCTGGTCAACCGCGCCTCACTGACCTAATCTCATCGTCCCCTCTCACTGAGAGTGCCGGTCTGGAAAGTGTTTGATTGGCAGGTGGATTATGGAGGTGTATAACATGTTGTTACAGCAATACAGCAATGTTCAGTCACCGCTGGGTCGTCACTGATTGCTTTGATTGGAAAAGGACCACCTCAGTTATATTATAAGAGATGGTGTCATTGTGTATGTAGTGATGACTGATTGATTATTTGGTCGTTATCAAAGCGATTAGTGAAGCTTCTTATCATGTTACGTGTTTAATATAACCTCCTATCAACCTGGATAAACTATCTTATCATACCCCCAAACCATTGATTATATTGTTGATTTTGTCCGACAGACATTATATGCCTACAGTACAAGCTCCACCAGCAGACAACCTCGTGACCTCAGTATCACTGGTTATAAACTTTCTTGTTGTTGTTGTTAGGACACGTATCAGTGATAGAATGTAGAATTTGTGATTTGTTAATTAAAAAAAAGAATGGCATGCAATTGACTTGTATATAGGCGCTTTCACATGCACATCATTTGGTTCGACATTCTTTCAATAAGTAGATTTGGTTCTCATCTTGACTCACTCTGTTTGCATAAATCAACATCACGCATTATTGCAAGAAATTGAATCACGAGTGGTGTAAAATGTCAACAGTGATTACACTAATCAGTAATAGTGTGATTTGTTCATAAAACAAGCAAAATCAGGAAATCTAGTAACGGCATCCATTAATGCATTCACCAATCATATTGACTTTGGTGTTACAACACACACATGCACACACACATAGAAATAAACAATCGGTGATTACAAAGGTGTCATCACTGCATTACTGTAACAACATGTCAATCACTAAGGTTCCTGCTCGACTCTTCCAATGAGACTGTGAGATTAGGTCACTGTGAGACTAGATCAGCCAGGATAATCCTCTACAGTCGCATTAACTGAGAAAGCGGACTCCCCAATATACCTCATGTCCCGTTATGTGGAGTAGCTTGATACTACTCCATGCCTCAGTGCCACGCCGGCAGGTATAAAGAAGCAGAATGTCGGAAAGATTCTTTATCTTAACTTGCAAGCAATCACCGAGTCTGGTTTAAACCTCGTTAAAGTTAACTTGAAAATATGGCAACCTCCACATCTGCTGACCAGATCTGTTCACAGACTGCTTCAAAATTGTCGTCTGCTGCTGCATCATGTAACAACGACCCCGTATCTGCCTCCTTTCAACTCTTCAGTCTCATAGAAATGCAGGATAGCTACCTCGAACAAGCCCAGGCCATAGGTATGTACAGGAGTCAATCTGAAGTGATTTGTTCGCTTCCGTTCATCACTGTATGCAGAAATACTACTGCCAACAAAATAAGCTCAATAACTAGGTGACCGTCCAACGCGTATGAATTACTGTCTCATCTATAATGTACATGTACTTTGAAAAATAATTTGGACCATAAAAACTTATAAACTTCTGTCTTGCTTCAGATACCTACATCCTGGAACTGTCCGAGAAGAATATGAATCACTGTATTAAGTTTAGTATAGTGTGGGTATTATTTTGATGTACCAGTTCATGTACTTATATTCTCCTGTTTCATTTCAGATACCTACATCCTGGAACTGTCCGAGAAGATCGTGAGAGATGCAGCCAATGGCGGCCATGTTGGACATGGGTTACTTCTGCTCAACAGGAAGTGTGTAGCTGAAGGTGTCCGTCAGGTGTACCTACGACTGGCCACACACAAGTGGAAACAAGTCAGGCAGTGCTACAACTTCATCAGACAAAACTTCGAAAACCAGGACCATCTTTCAGCAGCTGATCTGGACGAGTCACATGACCACGAAGTCACCCAGATTGCTCATGTGGACTTAGTCTGGAAATCCCTTCAAGAGGATCCTGTAGAAGACAAATGGAGTGTTGTGCGTTCCAGTGCAACAACTTGATCATGACTAGTTTCAGAGCTGAAGAGTCACATGAACGATGACACCCAGATTGCTCGTGGACTTAGTATGGAGTGTTGTGCGTTCCAGCGATCATGCTAGTTTCAGAGAAGACAGAAAATGACTTGACGTTGAAGATATATGTCTGGACACTTATGGACATCTAGTGCTTTATGTAAATATTGTCATAACACTTGATGGTATGGCCAATGCTACCAATTTTGTATTTATTTTGTAAATAAACATCTATATACTGAGTCTTTTCAGTTCAGCTGTTTCTGTTTTTAGAAGAAGAAGAGTTTAATTTTGGACTTGAACAAATGTGTTCTTCGTCCCCAAAACACATGGTGTACAGGCCTGTAAAGGACAAAGGATATATTTACAGTCAAGTTATGGAGGCTGGACAATGTATTGTGTTTGAGTTCTTACGTCAATAGAGAGTTTAATATATTTAGCTAAGTTTCGCATGGCAGATTTATTGGAATGTCTAAACAGTGACATAAACTTAAAACACTTGGTTTCTAACCCAATAGAAGCTTTTAATATATAACTTTCTAAACTGTAAATATTGCCAGTGTCCCCCCCCAATTTTTTTATTGGAGAGCGGGTGGGGTGGGGGTGGGGGCTGGGGTGGGATTGACAACAAAATTGGCATGGTATATTTAGGACAAATGAAGATAAAACTGCTCATCTTCAACAGTGTGTTGTGTTTGAGTGCTTACGTCAATAGAGAGTTTAATATATTTAGCTAAGTTTCGCAAGGCAGATTTATTGGAATGTCTAAACAGTGACATAAACTTAAAAACACTTGGTTTCTAACCCAATAAAAGCTTTTAATATAGAAATTTCTAAACTGTAAATATACTCATGCCAGTAATGGTTGTCACCCCTTCAATTTTTTTATTGAGAGCGGGAGGGCGTGGAGGTGTGGGCTGGGGGTGGGGAGGGGTGACAACAATTATTGGCATGAGTATATTTAGGACAAATGAAGATAAAATGATACTCATCTTCAACAAAGATTTTATACCCTGGCTATTGCAATAATCACAAATACAATCTTCCCTTGGAATATTACTGTATCTACCAATTTCGCAGATGTTCGCATTTGCGTGATTAATTTCTTATCACTAGCATTTCTAACTAGATCCAAATATAGTTCAAAACCAAAATTTTCTTTTAAAGTTTTGTAAAGAAATAGTTTACCATTTGACTCTCTAAGTAAGATCTCCATTTCTGAATATAGATATCAATGAGACGTTGCTTAACAACTTTACAAAAAATTATCAACATTTTCAATTGAAAATTTAGCACACAATTATATTACTTGATGGCTTTCTTAATGTGTAAGCTGCGGAATCAGCTTTTGATTGTACCTTTTAAGAACTGAGGATTGTATGATTCGGTTGGTAAGTCGCGAATTGATTGGCCTGCTTGTTAGAATCATGGTAAATTTTCTGTTAATATTGTCCCACCTAACCTGACACACCACAGGAGGCTCCAATTTGAGCTATCCTTTCATGCAGTTATTTGAAGATAAACCGATTTGAAAGTATTTGTAGGACCTGGATACAGGCTAGATATTATATTGTCAAGATGAGTAATTCAGATAAATAAAAGTGGTTCTTGTAGTTCTAGCTGTGCAACATTTGCGACAAGCCGAATCACACCTCACCGTTTTAAACACGCTTAAAGGGAACTTTGTGGACATGTATAGGTGTATCTTATATTATGACAAACGGACATGTTAACAGATAAACAATCGATTGCTTTGTCATTCTTGGTATAAGCAGTTATCTGTGTTTAACCTTTGGCTCGTAAAAGTAGACAAACATTGAGACAGTTCTATTTACACGTTTCGGTATGGAGTTTCTTAAACCGCCGTGAAGCAAGACAGAATAATGAACATGTTAGCTATACAGAACTACACATGGTAGGTCAAGAATTAACAATTCTAGCAATTGTCATACACACGGGCAATACTGTCGTTCTTGGGACAAAGCAAATCTCTGAGATATCTGTACTTAAACCACAATTGTGATGACCACCAGAAATTCAATACAATGGGTTACGTCCTTACACCCTTCCTCACACAATAACGACAAATAGACCAGTCCAGAAACCAGTCCAAAACATATACAGTAGACTCAGTAGACTGAATAAACACATTTATCAAACTACTTTCTGGGCTTATGAAGCTGTACTGTCAAAACGAAAGGAATAAAGTCCTTAATATAGAATTTGATACAACTCTGCTCATGCAAGCAGTACTGTCAAAACAAAAAGTAAAAAGCCTTACATATAGAGTTAGATACTGTTTCTCAGATAAACTGTACAATGGCAGAGCTTCAGAGAGTAGAGTATATTACTTCTCAGATCGGAGGTCAGCAGGTTCCCTTTGGAGACCGTCGCCAAACTGCCACACACTGGAAATTTATCATTTCTAACTTCTAAGGTCGCCTTACCACAGTAGGTGACTATGTGAGAAATGCATCCCCACGCAGTCACCCCAAGATTGAAGATGCTGAGAGTCTCCGCTTCGTGAGCAAGTTAAGAAACCGTTCCAGAGAAAAAGTTACCCCCATGCAGCAGATTTACAATGAGGAGCGGAACGCCCTTGACGACAATGATGCAGCACGTACTTTGAATTACCTGCCGTTCAAGCCATCGAAGAAGTCTTCCCAGACTGTGAGGTTAGAGGCTGCGTATTTCACTACAGCCAATGTATGCTGACAAAAGGGCAAACCCTTTGATTTGTTACAGACTACACGAGAGATGCTGGAGTGCAAGCTATAGTTCGTCGTGCAGCATGTCTTCCTCTCTTGCCCACTGCACAGACTTAAGAACCACTTAGAGAAATTGACTGTCGGCTGCACAGACTTAAGAACCACTTGTTAGAAGGTTGCCAAACCAAGCTACAGTTCCTATTTATTAGGTGAATAATGATAAACATATAAAAGGTTAAAAAATGTAGTTGATAAAAAGAGAACTGATTTGACATTTGTGGAGGGGGCAATATCAACAATATATTCACTGTTATACTTACCAACAAAACAAACAATCATCTTGTTTTTGCTGCCATTATATAGATTACAACACTACCGCAAACTTAATTATGTAGGATGATTAATAACGTAACGTTAACCATTTCCAAACAAACACATCTCATCGTACATTATTGCATTGCTGTAACAACATGTTATACACCTCCATAATCCACCTGCCAATCCAACAGTTTCCGGTCCGGCACTCTCAGTGAGAGGGGACGATGAGATTAGGTCAAAGAGGCAGGATTAACCAAGATAATCCTTGCCAATCTCATTTATGGGAGAACTTGCCACTACTCTGACAGACTACTCCATGCCTCAGTGTCACACAGGCAGGTATAAAGAAGCAGAATATCTCATGTGTGCCGTTCATTATCTCAACTCAAGCAAGCTGCGAGTCAAAAAGTCACCTGTTGAAATTAAAGCCGAAACAAATTTGAAACCATGGCAACTTCCATCTCTCCTGGCCAGATCTGTTCACCATCTAGCACTAAACTGTCGTCTGCTCCCTCATGGAAGGACGACCCAGTGTCTGCCTCTTTTCAACTTTTCAGCCTTATCGAAATGCAGGATAGATTCCTGGAACAAGTCCAGGCCATAGGTATGTTCCTATATTAATCTAAAGTAACTCTCTAAAATCAAATTCTTTGGTTAAATAGGTCAAAATTGTGTAACCAACCATGATAATAGCATAAGATATATACAAAAGTGATGCATGGGTACAGGTGATTTGACTAACTGATTGGTCTGTTAGACAAATCGCTGTCTTCACTTATACACCAAGTACTAATAAATATCTGTTGTATTTCAGATGCCTACATCCTGGAACTGTCCGAGAAGATCGTGAGAGATGCAGCCAATGGCGGCCATGTTGGACATGGGTTACTTCTGCTCAACAGGAAGTGTGTAGCTGAAGGTGTCCGTCAGGTGTACCTACGACTGGCCACACACAAGTGGAAACAAGTCAGGCAGTGCTACAACTTGATCAGACAAAACTTCGAGAACCAGGACCATCTTTCAGCAGCTGATCTGGACGAGTCACATGACCATGAAGTCACCCAGATTGCTCGTGGACTTAGTATGGAGTGTTGTGCGTTCCAGCGATCATGCTAACAGTATCTGACTGACTGAGTTGGTGAAAACTACATCAAGCTGAAGCTGCATCTTTATTCAGCAGTATATAATAGTAAATACTGTACCACGCTTGGAGTGTTGTTCGTTCCAGCGATCATGCTAGCAGTATGTAAAATACTCATGGGATGACTTGATGTTGAAGATATACGCCTTCACCGATGGGCATCTGGTGCTCATTGTAAATATTCTTTGAAACTCATGGATGGAATCTTGTGAGTTTCAATGACCAAGCCAGCTGGACAAAATACTCTTTAACGTATGTTGATGAGTCTGTTTTCACTGACTGAAATCTAGTGCTTGTTATAAACATTGTTAATACCCGGTGATGTCATAGCATCATAACACATTATTTATGTATCTTTAATAAACTGTTTAACAGCCAGTGTGTTGTTGTTGGTTTGTAACACCACACATTATATTGCCAACCATTATTGATAAACCGGGGCTGTACCAAATTTATTAGTTTCAAGTTCTTGGAGCTTGAAATCGAATCAAAACATTTCAGGATTAACAGGTGCAGCATAATTTCATTCTGTACATATACATGTTGAAATATATTCAGCAACACCCGTATTTTCTCAGACTGAACAACTTTAATAAACTGGTGCAAAACATGTGTCAAGGTTTCCATACCATATGAATTTTGAAGTGAAAATAAAGAGTTGAGGAGAAACATAGCCAAGATTAGCACGACATAATCTGTTTTATTTGAAGATCAGACAAAATCTGAATGGAAAACAGCACATCACTGACATCCTACACTGGGTTGTTGTTCCACATTTCCATGACCATCCTCTGAACACAAAGCCAGTCCTAGTGGACGACAATGCTAAGCCAAATTGTGCATATGTCATTGGTGAGTTCTACGTTAAGAGGCAGCAGCGAACCTATAAAACTCCCATAGAGCATTATGGGTTGCAGAATATGCCAAAGAGATTTTCCAGTACAAAAGACTGATGTATTGGAACTCCATCAAGAATGGAATGCAATATCACAATGATAATATTATTTAATGTCTGAACACAGTCAATGCGGAGGTTTGAATCTTTAACACTGAGGAGAGTCAATGACGTTATTGCATTGGGCAGAGGTTACAACAGACATTGCTCTCGGTTATTGATACTTATGGGATTTCTGCAGGATTGTGTGCCAGAAACTTGAAAATGAACGCACTTATTAACACTATACAACCATAGTTATCAGTGCTACAAAATGTGTCAATGTTTTGCAGCGTTCACGAATAACTAGTTTTTTCATTCTTTAAGCATTTTCATTGCCATTTATTTACTCTTTGACAATCAGATGATCCAGATAGCAAGTTAAAAAAGGATAAGTTCCTGGGCTAAGTTAAGGTAAAATATTGATACTATGAAAAATAAGGGTGTTGCAATACTTTTTCCATGTGTATATATTAGAGATTTAGAGAAATGCTCTCTACTTTGAAAAATAAGGAACACCTTTTGGTAACAATATGTTTTATATAACATGATTAAAACAAGGGTAAATGTTGACCATCAGTCTGTCTTCACTTTGTCCTGAAACAATGGGAGAGCAAGTCGGGCCCACTGGTCGTGCCATCTCACTGACTGAAACGACTTCACATTGTTTCGCAGTTTCTTCAATTCTGACTGGTTGTCTGGAAATCCCTTCAGGAGATCCTGTGAAGACAAGCATTGATTTTTGAGTTTTCACACATTTGATACCTGTAATTCTATTCTTGACACCATGCTTGAACACTGAAGAAGCAGGTTTATAGTGAGAATGACTGTTCTTTTACACATGTGAGATATGAAGAAAGATCTTAATGGGACAAATAACTGATCTCTTATAATGATTTGCACACTCACTTGTCTCTACAGTTTAGTTAAGGGGTATTCTTTTCTATTTGACTCTCTAAGTCAGATCTCCAGTTCTAAACATAGATATCAATGAGACGTTGCTTAACAACTTTACAAAAAATTATCAACATTTACAATTGAAAATTTAGCACACAGTCATATTACTTGATGGCTTTCTTAATGTGTAAGCCGGGGAATCAGCTTTTGATTGTACCTTTTAAGAATTGAGGATTGTATGATTCGGTTGGTTAGTCGCGAATTGATTGGCCTGCTTGTTAGAATCATGGTAAATTTTCTGTTAATATTGTCCCACCTAAGCTGACACACCACAGGAGGCTCCAATTTGACCTATCCTATCATGCAGCTATTTGAAGCTAAACCGATTTGAAAGTATTTGTAGGACCTGGATACAGGCTAGATATTATATTGTCAAGATGAGTAATTCAGATAAATAAAAGTGGTTGTGTCTTGGACGCGCGAGGAGGGTACAGAAGATATTGAATGGCCGAGTGCTCCATGATTGACATTTTCATTTTGGGGGTTGCTCTATACAACTGATGTTTGCTAATGCTGTTTGAGCTTTTTGTCTGTATGCCACGATGTGTCACGTTTGTTAACACATTAAACATTAGGAAGACACTCTTAGTTCATTTCTGAGAAACTTTTCTTTACCTGTGAAAATCACATCAGTGCAAAATCAGAAGTATGGTTGATACATAAATCTCAACAGATACAAGGATATGTGTATAATGAAATGTATGCAACTACCCATACGTTGACCACGTGGGTAATAAGTTCCTTTATTACCCACGTGGTCAACGTATGGGTAGTTGCATATTATTCTCGTACGTCACACGAGTGTCGTATAAAGTTCCTTTATTACCCACGTGGTCAACGTATGGGTAGTTGCATATTAATCTCGTACGTCACACGAGTGTCGTATCGCGTTGACCTGTGTCGTAACGACTTGACCTGAGATTCTAACGATCTGATTGGATAACCGATGACCTCACAGTTAGGTCACATTCTGACGTAACTATTTTTTTCATTCTTAACAAACACGTGAATTCATTCATTCTACAACTTAAATGCATTGTGGGAATGTAAACATTGCGAACGTTGCCGTGTCGCTGTTTAATTGTGAGTCGAACTGAGACATTATATCTGTCGAAAAACATAAACGCAATGTTTCCACCAGTGATGTTAGCCGAATGAAGCAACTGGAAACCAAGAAACGAGGTGCAACGGAGTAGTCTACTGTAGGAGGCTGTACGAGGCGATGACAACTGACATGCATCGTGACGTCGGTTACCATGGCAGTGACGTCATTAGTGTGACGTCATGCAAATATTGTACTACAGTACAAAACTCTTCCGCAACCTCTTTATGAAACCGGTTTCGGTTTGAAACCAAAAACATAACAAAAATACGCTATTTTGTCAATTTAAATGCATGTAAGACGTGGGTAATAAATAAAATACACACTCGGTCTCATTACATACGAATTATACGAAACTCGTGACCTTCCTATGTTATCTGACCTCGCTTTCGCTCGGTCAGATACCATAGGAAGGACACTCGTTTCGTATAATTCGTATGTAATGAGACCTCGTGTAGTATTCTCTATATATTAATCTGCAGTAACTCTCTAAAATCAAATTCTTTGGTTAAATAGGTCAGAATTGTGTAACCAACCATGATAATAGCATAAGATATATACAAAAGTGATGCATGGGTACAGGCTATATGGCTAACTGATTGGTCTGTTAGACAAATCGCTGTCTTCACTTATACACCAAGTACTAATAAATATCTGTTGTATTTCAGATGCCTACATCCTGGAACTGTCCGAGAAGATCGTGAGAGATGCAGCCAATGGCGGCCATGTTGGACATGGGTTACTTCTGCTCAACAGGAAGTGTGTAGCTGAAGGTGTCCGTCAGGTGTACATACGACTGGCCACACACAAGTGGAAACAAGTCAGGCAGTGCTACAACTTGATCAGACAAAACTTCGAAAACCAGGACCATCTTTCAGCAGCTGATCTGGACGAGTCACATGACCATGAAGTCACCCAGATTGCTCGTGGACTTAGTATGGAGTGTTGTGCGTTCCAGCGATCATGCTAACAGTATCTGACTGACTGAGTTGGTGAAAACTACATCAAGCTGAAGCTGCATCTTTATTCAGCAGTATATAATAGTAAATACTGTACCACGCTTGGAGTGTTGTTCGTTCCAGCGATCATGCTAGCAGTATGTAAAATACTCATGGGATGACTTGATGTTGAAGATATACGCCTTCACCGATGGGCATCTGGTGTTCATTGTAAATATTCTTTGAAACTCATGGATGGAATCTTGTGAGTTTCAATGACCAAGCCAGCTGGACAAAATACTCTTTAACGTATGTTGATGAGTCTGTTTTCACTGACTGAAATCTAGTGCTTGTTATAAACATTGTTAATGATGTCATAGCATCATAACACATTATTTATGTATCTTTAATAAACTGTTTAACAACCAGTGTGTTGTTGTTGGTTTGTAACACCACACATTATATTGCCAACCATTATTGATAAACCGGGGCTGTACCAAATTTATTAGTTTCAAGTTCTTGGAACTTGAAATCGAATCAAAACATTTCAGGATTAACAGGTGCAGCATAATTTCATTCTGTACATATACATGTTGAAATATATTCAGCAACACCCTAATTTCTCAGACTGAACAACTTTAATAAACTGGTGCAAAACATGTGTCAAGGTTTCCATACCATATGAATTTTGAAGTGAAAATAAAGAGTTGAGGAGAAACATGGCCAAGATTAGCACGACATAATCTGTTTTATTTGAAGATCAGACAAAATCTGAATGGAAAACAGCACATCACTGACATCCTACACTGGGTTGTTGTTCCACATTTCCATGACCATCCTCTGAACACAAAGCCAGTCCTAGATGTGTAAAAAAGCCTAAAAATGCGCGACTACGCGACAATGCGACAACGCGACATATTGGATATGTCGCATTGTCGCCCTCTTCGATTACCGATGCCCATGCGTAGAAAGTCAATTACACTACGCATGTGCAGGAAAAGTTATACTCTATTTCACACCTCACTGGTCTTTTGTTACCTCCAATGGTTTTTGAAATGAAGTAGTACTCGTAATGGCAATGGGGGCTGTTTTTCTTGAACTTAATGCAAATCTTTCATTGTTGCTTTGAAAATTATTTTATATATTGTAAATGTATTTAGCCAATCAAGTGTGTTTTAGCAGCAAGACAAATTATTAGCGCTACTATTCATTGTAATGACGGCACACGGTGGCCCTGTCATTTAAGGCGGGGCAATTTGCTGTGCAGAGTTGTGTCTCTTAGTCACACCAGAAAACTAGAAAACTATGATCATAGGTTCGAATCCCAGCACCATACACATTCATCACTTTGCACATTTCACCAATATCAAATCAAATCAAATCAAATTAGACACTTGTATAGCGCTACATATCAGAGTATAGCGCTACATATCCAGAGTCCTGCTCATGTGCGCTTAGTCGAATGCTCGTTTGAAGAAGTTGGTTTGGAGACAAGATCGGAAAATGTTGATATTTTCCGATTTTCTGACATTTTCAGGTAATCCATTCCAGAGTACAGCACCCGCTCTGCTAAATATTCTGTCCCCGTATGTTGTGGTTCGGACAGATTGAACATCTAAGCTTTGCTGACTAGCTGATCTGAGTGACCTTCCAGGCTTCTGAAGGTTGACTAGTTCCAGGAGATAGAATGGAGTAAGACCATTAGTGGACTTGTAAACAAACACAAGAAGTTTGAATACAACTGTCTTTTACAGGGAGCCAGTGTAAGTCCTTCAGGACTGGTGTTATGTGCACATACATATGTGTGCGTGTTATGAGCCTGGCAGCTGTTTTGAACACGCTGTAACTTGTCCATGTACTTCTGCTGTATTCCATGGAGTAGACTGCTGCAGTAGTCTAGGCGTGATGTCACAAATGCATGGGTTAGGCATTTTACAGATTTACACATATCAAGCTGACAGGTTGTGAAAAAACTGAAATATTGTTAAAATTCAGGCCACATCGGCAGAAACATCAGGTGATGTCCTCGAATGGGTCACTATGTTCGACAGTTTGGCTCCTGACAGAGTTTCTTGGTACAGTCCTGTCCGACGCTGATGAATTTGTCCGACATCTGCCTCTGTTCAGCCAGCAGTGGATGGATACCAGGTAGAATGAGATGGTAATATCGCTTAACCATCCAGCACCTCAAAGACAGTTTAGGTCGACTTTACGCCATACTAATGGACTGTTATCATTATGATATTAAAAACGATGAAATCGCTTGGCAGAGTTGCGTACTCTTGGAGTACCCGAAACCAACCCTCCCTCCCTCCCTCAGCTCAGCTCAGCTCAGCTCTGCTTCTCTCCACTCCGCTCCACTCACTGCACTCCACTCTACTCCACTCCACTCAAGGTTATAGGGAGTTTGGTAAATTAGCAAGGTATTTCATTACAATAATGTGTTGTGATGTATGTTTTTCAATTCTATTTGAATCCTATATAATTAATCCCGGACATGCCATGATTCACAATATATCGATAATTTTCTCATACGATACTATACCCAGCGATAAACATGTACTTGTATCGTTTCAAACATACACCTACTAAATCATAATACTTTTCAGCAAAATGGCCAGTTTGAATACATCCATTCTATTAACCAAGGACTCTTAACCCACAGACTTCACGGCCACATGTACGTTCATTTATTATTGTTCGATCCCTGGGTATCTCAGCCC